CTCTCTCTCTCTCTCTCTCTCTCTCTCTCTCTCTCTCTCTCTCTCTCTCTCCCCTGTTGAAAAAGATTAAATTGAAATTTTCGTTAAATAATTAGAAATCAAAGTATTCTTTCATTTCTTTCTTCAACATTTGTTTATTTCTTCTTCACAATATGGTCCTATTCCATTTACGGCTTTTAAAGCTTTAATTGTCTTCCGTTTTTTCGTTAAAATGAACAGAATGTTGAAGAAGAAGACCGGTGTTTAAAGAGAAGATGGTCAACTTTCTAATCGGCTCAGAAAACCTTTTGAGCAAAACTAGCTTCTCCGAATAGAAATGAAAACCATCAACGCTCTCAAAGTATTTGAGCTTCTGATGCTATGAAGAGCTTTGTCTGAAATTTTTTTCTTCCTTTTTCTATTTCTACTATCATTCATTTCATTTTTTAACTCTGATTTTCCTATCAAATTTGAAGCTTCAAATCGACCTTGAATCTACCGTCCAGCAGCAATTTCAAATTTTTTTTTCATTCTTGTCTCGAAAATTGAAATGAATTTTTTTTGTAGTAATCAGGCCATTTCCATCGAATTAACTCTGACGATAGCTATGTTTTCACTCGCATGCGTCCTCATTGCCTGAGGCAACGCAAAGATGCATTCAATGCCCTAATTCGTTAAAAACAAAAAACGAAGAACAGTCATTGAACTAAATTAAGTTGGAACTTTCATTGTTTCTTTTTTGACTATTTGACATATTCATGTCAATTTGTCTGCACTTCTAATGAACTTCTTAATTTGGAAGTTCGATGAACATTTCTGTAAATTCTGTATGGCTTCAGAAGATTTTGCTATTCCTTTCTAAGAATTAGGAGAGAATGAAATAGATGTATTCTATTATAGAGTATAACTGGAAGTTGACTCGATCATTTGTCAGGTCATCTGACTACAAGCAATTCACAAGCCTAGTTACAGAAAAGTTGGAGAGGAAAATCATTCCTCATCAATCGTCTTTACTTTATTGATTATTTTGAGGAGAAAATATATATAGAGAGAAAGAGGAAATTATATTTTTTGCATTTGAATCATATGCCATTTGATGTTATGATGGAAACCAGTTTCATATTCATCATCATCCTTATCATCAAAGCAAGTGATACGAAAAAGCTCATCTGATGATTGTTTGTCATGGACTGCAGTTTTATAAAAAATGTTGGCTTGATAATGCAAAATCGCATTGAAAACCCTCGAAAAGGCTCTCCTCTTCATTTTGTCTCTCCCTTCGCCCTTCTGAAAGGCAAAATGTATTGGAAGATCTTTTGTTGCAAAACTCTCTTTTATCCCATTTCCGTTGTTTCGTATCCATTGTGGCGTCCTTCTCGTTCCCTCTGATCACCTTGTTTCTCTCGTTTCAAATACATATTTGATCTCGAAATAAATTTCTTTTTTCACATCTAATTATCTTCCGAACATTATGCTAACTTGAGATCTTCTCCTCTATCCGGTCAATGAACCGTTTCCATCTCCCGCAAAGCATTTCATCAACACCACTTGCAGATTCAGCCCTCCGGGCGATAATCGACCTTTTCATTTAAACAAATCGATTGAACATCTTCTCGATTTCTGAACAACCTCTTCACTAATTTCCTATTCTTAATCTTAATCTTTATTTTGAAATTTTTCTTTTTTTCTTTTTATTTATGTCAATCTCCTTCATTTTCCCTATCTATCCACTCTCACACTCCTTATATTCTTTCTTTTAACTTCATTTTTGCTTTTTTTTACCTTTCTTTTCAACTTTCCCCCTCCCATCCAAATATCGTCTCACCTGTTCTCCTCCTTGTGTTCCTCCTCCCTCTCTCTCTCTCTTTCCTCTCTCTCTCTCTCTCTCTCTCTCTCTCTCTCGCTCTTCCTCTCTCTATCTCTCCTACTATTCGATAGATTTAGGATCATCTGCCTGTTTTCCTTACCAAATCGGCAATTATCGTTCAAGTAAAACATCAAACGTTGGTTACTTCAACAGACTAAGCCGTCTTCTTTGCACTTTGGCCCCTTACAAGTCATAAATTGATTGTAAACAACTTCTTTAGTTAAGCTTCTTCCTTAATTTTCATATTTGTTGTTTTCATTTTCTGATCATTCTTCCACTTTGAATTTACAATCCTTTTTTTTTTAATTTGTTACAAAATGTTCATGGAAAAGGATAGCGACGTGACGACAATGTTCAAGGTCGTTATCCTCGTCTGTTTCCTCCATTAAATTCGTTTTTTGTTGTTATTTTGATGACATTTTTAAGCTTTTAATCAACGCTTTTTCCCCAATTTGTAAAAGAAAATTGTTTTCTAGTCATCCTCGCACAAGATGGAAACTTCAATCTTTCCAGCCATTCTCCTCATTTACTTGTTCAACTCACTATCACGTGGCTATCTTTCTGACTTCTTCCTTCCTCACCGTCTGTATCTTAATTCTTGAAAAGTTCTTTAGACATAGTGTATATTCGTGAAATACAGAGATTTGTCAAATATTATCAGAATAGTTTGATTTTCTTCGTTTTTTGGGTGATATTGGGATGATTGTAGCAAATGATGACATGAAGAGAATAAGAGAAAGAGGGGTAGGGGGGGGGGGGGGGAAGGGGGGGTTATTGATATAAAGCCAAATATGGTGCGGATACTAACCAGTTTTCGAGTTCTTTCTATCAATTTCTCGCTTATTCAATCTTCTCAAGACTTCTGTAGATGTGACTGTTTAAATCAGGAGATGTACGACTTGAGAAGCAGAAAGAAGAGGAAAAGAAAATGAAATTTTTGAAGAAACTTCAAAGAAATTGATGAAAAGAAGAAGAGAGGTGATTGTTACGAAAATTCTGATGAAAACAAACTATTTCTTACTTTTCATCATGATTAGACTCTCCTCATTTTCCATTATATTTCCAACCTTTTTCGAACGTTTTTTGTCAAAAATTGAAATGAATTGTCACCTTTCTCTTCATTTTCCTTCATTTTCATCCTAAAAATTCTGAATCATTTCACCATCTGAAGCATTTGCAAGACGTTCAATTCGTTTTCAAACATTTTCAGACATTTTTTCACTTTCAAACTTGTGAATATCTTGACATTCTCATCTCATTTACATATTTCACACGTCATTCTTAAGTGAATGTGTGATCATTTGGATTGTTTATTGACAACGAACGGTTGTTGAATTAGAATAAAATGGTTTATTTTCTACTCACAAATAGAAATATCTCGATTGGATCATTGAATGTGGCTGGTTTTTTTGTGTTTTCTAATCAGATGAAGCCGTCATTTGTCGGACAAGACAGTCATCAGCCACTGTAACTCTTCCGGTTCGCTTTGTTAATCATTACCAGCAGAAATACACAAAATACCTCTTTCTGCTAAGTATTTTTCTCGCTATTCTACTGTTCTCTTCCTCTAGTCTACCAACCCCCTCACCCAATTACACGTCTCTCTCTCTCATTCTCTATCTGAGTTACCCCCACGTTCGCACAATTGTACATTTTCTCTCTCATTCATTACCTCCTACCTTTCTAACTCCTTCACTCTCTATTTCTCTTTTTCCCTCCATATCTTTCTTCTTTGATAATATTTATTTTTTCAACTTTCATTTTACCATTTTACGTTGACTAAAGTCGTGCTCTTCTCCTTCTTTTCCCATATTGTATTGACAATTGATGACTGATGGCACACAAGAATCATCTGAACAAACGAGAAACGATTTGAAGACAAGATGATCGCGGCTTCAAATTAACTTGAAGACATGTCAAATCATATCAATTGCCTTTCCAAAACAGTTCTTTAATATTGATTTCAGTTGCATTTCTTTCTTTTTTTTCCAAAATTTTTTTTCGTTCCAGAATACCAGCGACATGATGCTGACAGCTTTAAATCCGTATGGAACGAACGCTGGCGGCTCTTCCTCTGCCGCCGGCGGTTCTGTCAACAACCACCATTTCCAGATTGAAGATGTGACTGATGATCCAGAGGTTTTCGACATTTTTTTTTCAATGTTTGCATTTTGTATATTCTAGTATTCCAACTATGGAAATGAGAATGATGAACCTGAAGAAGGTGCACTTGTTGAGTACTGTCGATTGGATACACGCAATCCCACAACCCCACCAAGAATTTGCGAAGCTTCAACCGTTGTTTCAGCTCGCTGCATCAATCCTCCATTGGTTAGTTAAAACATTCTGTTTTCATTCAAATTAGCACAAAAACATCTTTGCAAGAGCTGCGATGAGAGTTGAGCCAGAAACCCGTAAGCTTGATTCTGTTCAAAAACCTCTGAACCATCTATCTAATTTCAAACATAAATTTAAATTATTTTTGCAAAAGACGAAACGAACAATGGTTTTGAGGATAAAAAAAGTGAAAAAATACATATTGAAAGGGCGAAAACATGCAGTACTATGTAAAAGCTTTGTTTTATTGAGCAAAAAAAAAGAAAACAAAAATAATGTCGACGAGGCTTTTTCATTTGATTTTTCATCCAATTTCAATAAAAATTTATTCATTCGACAACCATTCTTTGGCGGATTGGAATAGGTAAAGCTTACCTTCTGAAAACAATAAAAACAAAACGAAAAAAATTTTTTTTTGGCTTTATCCTCAAGAAAAATGTTTTCTTTGCCAAGTTCTTACCAGATTCTCTCTTGCTCACTTCACCATCAAAATATGGAAAAGAGTTGATTTTGATTAAATTTTTGAATTTTTAAGATTTTCTGTAATATTTGTACTTTTGCTCTGATGCTTTGGCCAAACAAGGCTCCCGTCCCTTTCTCTCCCTCTCTAGCACTCTCTCTCTCTCTCTCTCTCTCTCTCTCTCTCTCTGGTTCTTCACAGAACTGCAGTAAAGAGATGAAAAGTTTTCTTTTTCTTGAAAAAATGGAGCCAAGATAACCATTGAAGCTCTTGAGGACATGACCAAAAGCGAACAGTCCCCGGAGGCCAAGTCAAGCGAATGTTGGCAGCCATTCGTCGGCTGTTTTTCTTCTTTTTTGCCTTCTTTCGCGACTTTTCATCTGCGGCACTCGTCGTCAAAGCAATTTTTTTTTAATTTTTAAGCAGAAAAGAAGAGACTAAGAGCAAATTTAAGGATAGGAAGAGAATTAAATGAAAAGTTGTAAGCTGAAAGCCTAAGCTTAAGTTTCTATTTGTTCATTGACTAGTTGATTAATTGAATCTCAATTACATGCTATTTTCTTTTCTATTTTTTTTGCCAAACTTTTGGAAGACGGCTTGCCTTCTCCGTTTTTTTTTCCGAAGGTCTATTGAAGCTCTTCTAATTCAATTGTTTCTTCCAATTGTTTTGCCATATTCGGACATTTCTTTTTGCTTCAAATAGTTCCTTCGCCATTTTTTTGTTTCCTTTTCATCTCTCATCTTCCCGTCTCTCTATTCGCCTTCAATCAAATCCATGTACACATGTTCTTATACGTATATGGATTGTAATTATTGATTGGCTATATAACATAATCTGAGCATGACATCATCAGGAAATAGAAATCATCGTATTTCCTCTTCTAATAAGGTAAGCGCTTATCTTAACCCATCGTAGATGTCCAGCATTACAAACTTTTTTCCTTTTTTTCCTTTTGTTGGTTCATGTTTATTCAGTCTTTATGATCTGCGCAGATATGAAGAATGCCTCAGGGCAAATGGATGATCAAGCTTAATCTGATCGAATTTCTTTGGCATGTTCATTGAACTTTAGAATGCTTATTTATAATTCCTTTTTTTTGCTAAATTCTTCAATTTCAATTAAGAGTTCTCGAAGACGATATACTCTATCTCGTCATTCAACATGAGAACATTCTTCTCTCCTCTCTTTGTTTTTGTTAACAGGAGGAGGAAAAGCTCTCCATATTCGGACAAGGGTTATTAGTCTTTCAAAAATGTTTCTTCTAATCTTCGAAGAGTTTTCTATTATTTCACATTGAAATAAACTATTTTCCTCATTTCTCTATCATTCTCAAGCTTTTCCTTTATCTCTCGAGTTTTCGTTAAAGAGCTCTTCATTTTTTTGGATAAATGCCAATCAATCATAAGAGTCGTTGATAGATAATATGAATAATAGAGTGAATATAGAAAGAGACAAGATGAAACTTCATTCTTCTTCATTCTTTTGTCATTTTTGGTCAAAAACTTGTATATTTGGATGTAGAGAAGTTTCACTGTCCTTAGCTTAGTCCTTCTTTCATTCAAACCAGATCATATAGTTAGCATAATGAGCAATTTGCATGACATTATTCAACTTCTTCTTTTCCTATGTAATTTCTATTTTCATTGTCATCACCCGATTTGCCAAGTCAAATTGTATCATTTTCATACAAAAAATATGATTCTTATAGCAATACATAGGCTTTCATCGTTATTCGTTGTCTGCCATGTCCGTTGACGTCAAAATTCACACGTTTCTTTTCCTCTTTTTCATTGTTGCCATAATGAGATGCTTGAATCGGTTGTTCATTTTTTGACTCATCGTTCTATCTTCCTCTCACGCATCTCTTTGTCTCTTCCTCTCTTTTCCCTCCTATATTTCAACTTGTTTCTTTAACCTCTCCTATCTAACATCCTTTATCACATGATGGGTTTCACACATTCTAGTTGCAAAACATATCTTCTGCTGATATTTTGTATGAATTAGTGAAGAAAGAGCTTATACTAGTGAGTAACGACCTATCTATCGATTCATCTTTTATTTCTTTTTTTTTTCAAATTTCTATGTCTTCATCTGTCGTCTAAGAGGAGGAAAAGCCTTCAGATGAAGGCCTAGCGACTCCAGTGGGACCAGTTATTCTAATTGTGTAAGGGAAAATATAAGACGCACAAAATTTTCATATTTCTATTCACAATCCGTTGAGAGATGATGAGAAAACAAAGGTTTCAAACCAATTCTCAATCGTCCTATCAGCCTTATTTGAGAGGGTAGAGATAGAAGAGTTAAGATGAGAAAGGGGGAGCGGGAGGAGTAAAAGCTTGATTGAGGAGATGCAACAAGCAGTTACAAGTTGAGTTAAATAGTCGTTGAATACACAAAACTCAACCAGAATAATCTGCTACTCAATCCTTTGCCAGAGCTTCTCATTTCTTTTTATACATCTCTTTCTCTCTTTTTCTCCCAATTTCTTTCTGTCTCTCTCTCTCTCTCTCTATGTCTTTTTCTCTCTGTATATCTTGGTGTGCGAAAGCCCGCTATGGGAGGGTAGAGTGAACTCATTCAGCATTTTCTCTCACTGCCCACTAACTTACTATTTATGGTTTTAGCTTTGTGTGTGTGTGTATGTATGTGTATATGAATGTGTGTGTATGTGTGCGTGTGTGTGTGTGTGAGTGTGTATTTGTGTGTTAGTAACATCAGCCGGCATTCGAATAACAGCAACCCCATCGTTCATCAGAATTCTGTTCACAAGATGCTACTTGTCACTGACTTTAAGCCATTTGTCAGATGATTTCATTTACAAATCCAGATGTCTTTGCCTTTACATGGTAAATATTATTTTGGAAACTTGTGTAATCCATATTGACTTGACCGGAAATTCCGTTTCCGCCTGTGCTGCTTATGAGTACCAGCGTTTTTGCTTTTCTGAGATTATGCTGTCAAACAAGATATATCACATACGTATGAAACGTTTTTCTCATTTCATTACTTTAATTCAAATATGTATATGAACATTTAATATTTTGATAATCAGAAGATGAGAACTTTCCAAAAATGCCTTCATCTCATGACAAAGAACGTGACTGAATGCCATATGGCGTTTTGCGTTAAACAACATGTAGCTTACATCCCTAAACAACCTCTCTAATTCGTTGAATCATCACACTGAATGGTCTTGAAACGACAATTAAGCTTCTTTATAACTATTCTCTTTCTTGTTCACATGAATATCAATACATTTCGAAGAATTGGTTTTCAATTTACAAGAAAAAAAAAACAATAAAAACATTTTTTCATTCTAGAATCGTTCCTTATTAATGTCACAGCCACGTGCTGTACATGTCATTGATGTAGATGATGGAGCTCCAAGAGCTGATGGAGGATCGTGCCGGGGCGGATGGACACAACATCCATGGAGGTACGTTACCCACTTTCATAGTTTTCTCAAAACTGTTTCCTATCTGTCTGAGTACGTAAGTTAACATAGTGACGACCAAAGCATTTAAAATAAGAAGAGCATGAATCCTCCAGGGTTCAATAATGGTTATAACAACTCTGAAAGGAAATATCTTCATTGCCATACTTGAACAGTTAAGAGACGTATCCTCAGATCATTTTATCATAAAATGCATATTGAATTCACTTCTTATTCATATGTGTGATGTGTCAAACACAAGAATGAGATTAGTAGAAAGTGAGCGACAGAATATTATTTGAAGTAAAGAAGGGAGGTCAGAAAGCTAACAAGAGCGGTTGTGTTTAAATAAACATAAACAGAAAATTTTCGTTTTTGGTCGAAATGTCTATAAGGATTGAAGATTCAAGACAACTTCCGTTGTATTTCGTGCTAATCGCTAGTGATTCAGATGACCAGACGATGGTTAAACAAGAAAATGCTAGTCTGTTAGAACGAAAAAAAACATTTTTTTTTTCTTCTTCTGTTTTAATGGGCGATTGATGACATAGTTAGCTGAAAGATGTCAATCAGTCGTCTGATATTCTGGAGCGTTTAAACTGAATTTTGACGTTGCACTAATTCGAATTTTCTTTAATTTCTGCAAACCATAATATCATTTGCTCTTTTTGTCTTTGTAGAAACATATCCAGATTTAAAGCTGAACAAGATAAATTCAAGCTTCTGACCTTCATTACGATCGATCTCCAACTTCTTGAGCCTCATCCCTGCTGCTCCTCCTTCTTCTTCTTCTTCTTCTTCTGCTTCTTTTCCTTCTTGTTCTGATGGTGCTGCTTCTTTTTCTTCCATCTTGCGGATTAGAGCTGAGCATTGTCTGTTTCTATAACTTAATCCCTTTTTCCGTTTATGAAAGTTAGAAAAAATCTTTTGTTTATTCACATTTAGTAAGAAAATGTAATTAAGTGAACCAACTATAACATCATATTTAAAACTTAGTTCATCCATATGCCTTAGGCTACATCTATCCTTCTTTCTTGAGTTCGCTCACTGCAGACCTCACTTCACTACTTTCGTAACCTTCTTTCAAGGAGGAACGTCATTTCTCCTATTAGAAACTCTCATATTTCTTATAATCTGTTAGTTCTTATTCACATGCGTATACAGCTTATATGATTGAAAACCATCGCTTTCCCAACTTTTTTTCTTAGTTTTCTCTTTTACTTTCCCTAATTTCATCTTCTTTTTTTTTTCTCTTCAAAAACAACCGCTCAATGTACTTTTCAATTCCAAAATGAAGTTATACGTACGGACTCCACGTGATGTCTTTAACGTGCACATTAGAATAATGCCATTAGTAGTTGAATTAGAAACAACGATTAGATGGAAAAGAATGATTCTCATGTTGAAATCCAATCCCAACAACAAAAAATTCATGGGATAATCATGTTGGAAAGTGAAAAAACAAAGAGAATCTTATTCACTTTACCTGAATTGTCAGAGAGGAGAAGAGTAATTCGAGGCAAAACGTAACATTTGAAGGATAAAGTTTCTTCTTTATGAATCATCTGAGAAATTTTTGTTTTTCAAACTTCAAAATGACTGATTAAAGCTAAGGAAGTGATAAAGCTTGTTTTATAGTTATTAAGTTTCTCTCTGTCTCTCTATGACATAGTCTGAGGGCATGTGTTATATGTCACATCAAGTTAGAGCCTCTCTTTTCATACATTACCTTTTCATTACGTAAAGCCTTGGATATTACACTTCGAGAATAGGGGGGGGGAGAGAAAGATGACAAACTCACTTATCAGTGTGTTGTGTTTGTGTGAAAAGTGCTGAGAAAGCTAATTAGTTAGTCGAAAGAAGAAGAGAGAGACAGATAAAGAAGAGGGAGTTGAGAAGAAGAGGATAAACGGAAAATGAGGGAGTATAGAGGGATGAGTAAGTGAAGAGAGAGATGAAGAAAGAGGAAGAGAAACAAACGGCTTTCAACAGATTTCTATCTTTTCCTCCATTTATGCTTTAAAGGGAAACAAACAAGTAAACATGAACATGTTTCATCCGAAATCTCGGCTTCATCCATGACGTCATTTGCTGATTTTCATTGGACGAGATGGCTTTCTCGTAAGAACGTAACCATTTGAATATGTAATGAATTGATTCAAATGTATCGCTTTTACGAAAATTCGCTGATGGAATGAAGCGGAAAGGCAGGAAAAGCTTCAGACGGCTCAATGCGCATATTTGGATGTTTGAAGTCTTTTCATTGGAAAACATAAAGTGATCAAACGCTAATGATAATCATTTGGTTTGACCAGCCATCTTTTTCCGGGATGAGCACTGAAAGCTTTATTACTTTTTCTCATCAATTGCTTTGTGCAATGGCCCAAACGTAAATAGTGGTGTGTCAAATACAGAACCTTCAATCGCCAGATGAGACCCATATCCGTTTTGCGGATAAAGCTTACAGTTAAAAATATCAGCTTCGAAACTTTCACAGGATTAATATGTCCTGTCGTCGGATCTCATTTCTAACACTCCAAAATCATCTCCCTCTTATGAGATTCTCTCTTCTAATTTTCTTTTGTCAGTTCAACTTTTGCCTGACTTGATCATCAGCTGCTTTCTGACTGTCTATGTTCTCTTCGAATTCAACGTTATCTATTCGGTTCAAGTCGAGACGGCCGAGCCCCGCCTTCCCTGCGTCCGGCGGCAGGCCGGGGGCACCAAGAGGCTTCTAACGCAGTTGCACGTCGTCATCATCGTTCAGCGTTCTTCTGATTAGATATTCAAATTCTAATAATTGATTATTGCTATATTTTTCTGTTCACTTCCGTATTTGAGGGAGGTTGATTGACAGCAAGCCGGTTAACGCCTTCTGGCTATTCGCCGTTCGTTTAGCAGCTTCTCTTCCCCCTCCTCCATCTACCTATACATATGGATTTCTTTCTACGTCCCGTAAAGTCAAGTTCGCGACGAAAAGCAGCAGCTGCAGCAGCTAAAGCCGCACAACTTCCATCGTCATCATCATGTCCAGCAGTTAAGGCCGTTCATTCATCACCTCAGCCGACAACGTCATCAGAATCACAAGGGAAGAAGATGCTGCCCATGTCTCCGCCATCACACAAGAAGAATGGATCATTCACAAATCGAGGGCCATTAACGACGAACACATCAAGAACGGCGAACGGTTCAACGTCATCATCAGCAATTCGACCAAAAGCTGGAGGAGTAGCTTCAAGTACTTCATCATGTGCACGAGTACAAGCCGATATAGCTGTGTAAGAGAAGCTCTGTTTTTTTGGTTTACTTTATCGCTTCAATTACTCAATTAAAGAACTAAATGAGAGTTTGAAGACTGATTACATGGAAGCAAAAAAATATTCTTTTTCTCTTCTTTTTCGTGAAGAAATCATTGAAAATGCGCATAATTGACAAAGTTCTTTTGTCAGAAGATGCTTTTGAATACTTCTTTTTACAACAAAACAAAATTCTTTTTTTAAAAATATCTTTGCTCTCTTAAAATATAATTTCTGTACTTTTCTTTGGTAGATAGCTCTCTTCATTCTCTATCTCTCTCTCTACCCTCTAACCAAGCTATCTTTTTTAAATTCTCTTCATTCCTTCTTTTTCTTGCAATTTGTCTAATCTTCTATTTTTCTCTCTCTTATTCACTGATTCTTTTTTACTCCGTCTCTCTCTCTCTCTCTCTCTCTCTACAACTTACAGTTTACTCTTTAACTCTCATAACTCTCCTTCGTTCCTCTCTCAAAACTACATGATGTTTCTGTTTAATTCATCTTCCCCAGGGAAAGATGGTCAGAATAATTTAGGAAAAAGCTTTATATAGTTGATATGTTATGAATTTGTAACAAACGATTATCCATCTCTTCAATTTTCACACTTGAAATTTGTTGAAAAAGCAACCATTTGCTGATGAATTTCTCCAGATGTCTGAGGGTGCTTGACGAAACTCACAAACACAATTAGACTCCCCCTTCTTGCACCTCCTGAAAACCTTTTTTTTTGTTGTTGTTTCCTCTTCTATCAATGTTACGGATATTGAATTGTTCTTCATTCTTTTTCTTCATCAATTTTTCATAATTATTATTGTTTCTTCCATCTTTGCCTGGGGCTATGAAACAGGCGTCTTGTCGTCTTCGGCGTTAATTTTAGATTTGTTCATCTGATGTTTGAATGTGTCCAGTGGATTTCATGGGAGGACAGAAATCTTTTCTCATCTATTTCTTCTTCGCCCACATCATCTCTCTTCCTTTTTCGGATAGAAATTCCCTTCAAATGTGTTCATAACGATAATCTCTCTCGCTCTCTCTCCATATCCCTCGTTTGTAAGAGCAATCTAGTCTTAGTTATGAGGATTTCTTAGATATACGGCGTCGTTCTTCCATCTGGGGGTCTGCCGTGCTCACGGATTTCCGTTTCCGAACGTCTTCCGTCCACACATACAGCCAACGCGACTGAGTGTCCGTAGTTCAATCAGCTTCTCATAGACGTAAAGAATCAATTGCCGGAGGCACAATAGTTGAAGAGAAGAGATAATGAGAGAAATAGGAGAGAAAGAACAAAAAGAAAAAAAGAAAGAAAAACATGTTGGTGAGGAAGTGATAAATGTGATAAGAAGTGTTCATTTCAAAATTAAAAGTCCTCATGAACTTTTCGAAAGTAAAAAACGAGGAATGTATAGAGAAAAGGAAAAAAAGAAAATGAGATGATGTGTGAACAAGATTGAATGAAACATCTCATGTCATGTCAATTGCCCTCAGGGCATGTGAAAATACGCTTGTACATCTCAACTTACATACGTATAATGGCGGGAAAACGAAGAAAAAAGATTATTTGCTGCAGAGAAGTTGCTTATGAAATTCTTTTGGAATTTCACAATGCGATTGTCGCCCAAACTGCTTAAAGAGATGCCTTGTTTGGACATCAGAAATGTGGTTGAAGCTTCTCTTCTTATTCTTTTATTGGACACTGTCCAACGCAAACAAATTGAAGAAGAAGCTTTGATTTGAATAAGAAAAAATGAAGTTTCAATCGAAGTAACGATGGAAGAAGACCCAATTTGCTTCTAAACTTCGTCACTTTTCTCTTTACAACTTTAGATGTTTTCATCAGCCCAAAAGGGAAATATTTGAAAGGGGAAACGTTGAGAAAACAAAAAACGAAGTTTCGGCTATATCTTCTTCCTATTTTGTGTTTGTTCCTTCTATCCCATGTGAATGTTCACGTAAATTCATTTAGTATAGCATTGTATACATTTCAAACTCAACATCATACGAATGTATATGACGTGTAAACAGATGATACGTGAGTTAGCACATTCTCACGTACACACGTGAAATACACATTGAGCACATTAGCTACGCGCACATAACGTTTGCATTCTCAGTCAGTCTTCAATTTTATTTTAAATTGAAGTGTAAATTAGAAGTTAGATGAAGAATGTGTCTTTCATTAGTTAGCCAGATGTCGAGAACGTTTTCTCTTAGGAAATATGAAAAATGAGAAAAAATATTTTTGAAAAGAAAGATTATTAAAATGACAACAGAGGATGTTCCCTTAGGGCATTTTTTCTATTTTTTTCCCGTTTGCTTTGATAAATGAACTGAAAAGGAAAGAAAGCAAAGCAGACAGATATGGCAAAGAGATTTATCCCACCTGACCAATGCAGACATCCATAAAAGGAAAAAACGGAAAATCGTTCTGAACTAACTGTTTCCTCACAAACATTTTTTTGTTTTTCCTTTTATTTCGTTCAAAATACTTTTCTTTCCACTTGAAATATGGATTCGTTAAACTTTCTTTGAACTTATCCCTCTCATACTCAACGGAAGCATGGGTGGCTTGGTTTGTCTCCAAAACTCACACGTACATATTAGTGAGGTGGAATTGAGGCTTAAAACTGAATCTTTATACCAATTCTCTTTTCTGTCAAGCTTTATGCAAGAGATGATCTTCTGAACTGCCCCGATTTATTCTTATAACTCATGTCCGAAACTTTTTTATAAACATTTTTGACAGTGGAAAAAAAAGAAAAAAATTCAGAAAATAGTGTCGGAAGCAATGGGGAAGCATAGAGAAGCTTGCGGTAGTTAGGAGTAATGTTGAATTCCCCTGAGATATTACTTGAATCACTCGCAAAGACGAAACATATAAGGAAAACTTTTGGGTTAAAGAGAAAAAGAAAGAGAGAAAAAGAAAAAAATGGAATCTCATTGTCTTTCCACGACTTTTGGAAGTCTTTGTCTTTGGACATCTTTCCTCATCAGTCGTCTAGTTCTTCCTCTGAGCTATTCTATAACTATATGCATACAATTTATTAATTCATAACTTCATTTTGTTTCTCGAATGAAGCCAATTTTACAGTTTTTTCCTGGATTACTGTAAGTAGTTAAATATATGTATAACCGTATAGGATAGTATAGGATACTAGTATAGCTTTAGTTTTCATAGTGTTTCACTCAGGCGTATAAATAAGGCTGTTACACGTTGTTAGACTCCTCTTTAAGCTTTTGCTAAGTTCACAGGGAGTCTATTTTTAAATTAAATTTCTGTCAAACGTTGACATGAACATGACCAAGTAAGAGAGGATTCATATCATGACGTCACATGTAAAAAGACGTCCTCATTGAAAGCTCAACGTCTTCGTTGCCCTGAGGCCAAGTCTCATTGAAGCTTTCAGCTTATATTGAGAAACTATTCCCCTGTGATTCATTGTGGAAATTCTGTTTCTTCTTTTAAACTCTTTGATTTCTGTCATTTCTTTCTATCTTCGTCGTCTCTCTCTCTCTTTCTTGGGCAGTATCCTCTCTCTAATTTAACATGTTTATTCGACCCAACTTGTATGGAAGCTCTCATTCATAGATTTATATATCCGTATTATAGTAGTTAGATATCCAGAGAGATAGAAAGAAAAATCCAAGAGCTCAGTTGGCTTTATAGATGTCTGTCGATAGATTTCCATATATGAGTTGCTTCATCTTCTTCTTCCAATTCGTTGTCGTCGTTCAGTTACTGCTTGCTTAACCATGCGGGTGGTGGACGAAGCATTCAATGGTAAAGCTGGGCAATGATAGAAGAACAATAAGAGATTCACTCCCTCCCTTTCTCTCCCTCTCCCTCTCATCTCTCTCATTTTCTTTCAATCTATCATTCACTCTCTCTTTTTCCTTAAGCTTGTAAGTATTTCTCTATAAAAAGCCCCTGGACGACCCATATCAAGTGACATCCTCCAACCATGTTGGCTCTTTCATCTTAGCAATCCGATGCCAAAGAAGTAGTATTCAAGCTTTTCCTTCATCATTTGCATAGCTTTTCAGTTAGCTTTTCATCACTAAACATAGTTATAAAAATTAAATTTTGAGTCCTCAAAAATAAATTTGAAAGAATTAATAACTGAAACATCCATCTATTTTCAGAAAGGTGTGCGTTCACTGCAAATGTGACAGAGCTGATCACGAATTACCTCCCAATCAAGTAGTTAATATATACGAACGGCTAGGAATCAAGCCTCCACGTAAGTCCTTCTTCGAAAAGTTCAGAAACAATTCTTCATTTTTGTTTTTTCATCTCTCCCAATTTATTTCATCATGTTTATGCAATTGCTATTTCATCAAAATATTTTTCCATTCCAGACTTTTGTTTATTTTTTTTATTTTTATTTTTTAAGCAAATATGCCTGTAAGTACTGCAGTTCGTGATGATTCACCTGGTTCTGTTAGTCACGGATATGCATGGGTTCCACCCGGCTTAAATCGCAAAAAAGTACGCAAGTCAATTTTCATTTTGTATTTAACATGTTGTGTAAGCGGTTGGTTTATTTGATTAACATGAGAAATGGACTTAAGAGGGGCGGAACTACAAAAGTACAGAAGCATCCAGATAGTCATTGATAAATTATTTCTCAACTCAACGAAGGAGCAAAAGCATGTGCTACTTGTCTGATGATATGCTATCTGATCCTTTCCTTATTAAATTCATGAATGAAGCTTGCCGTTGGTTCGCCCCAACTTCCATTTCTGCTCGCCGGTGGATTTATAATGTTAGAAGCAGTAGTTTAGAATATTATCAAAAATTAATATTTTTCAAACTTACATCCTAATCATTTAAGGTTGAGGATTATATGTCACAGTTACCAAATCATGTGGTTCCCCGACTCAACTCATCCGGGGAGAAGTACCGTGAGAAACAATTAATTAATCAGCTGCCACGTCATGATTTCTCTGTCGCTTACTGCCGTCATTTGGGTACAACACCTGAGAAAAAGGTTCAAGCTCACTTGTTTTACATTTTCTATATTTTATTTGTAGGTTTACGAAGAATTTATCAACGCTCGCAATGAAATCGCCTTGGATATTGGATATGTTGCTGCAAGTGCTTCAAAAGCCATGGTTAGTTCTTTCATTTCGTTTCACTCGTATTGGTCCTGGCACGATTCTGTCTGTCACTCATGTATTTAATGAAAGAAAATATCGTTTATAATCGGATTAATGTAATTAAAATGATCACGAAGATGCTTCAATGCGCAACTCAAAAGTTTGTTTTTCAGCTCAAAAATTAACAAAAAATTTTTTTCTTTGAAAAATCGTTTGTTTGAAAACAGGAAGAGTTGAAAGAACAGTTATTCATTAAATATCTTTGAAGGAATGTCACAAATGCCGCGGAGTTTTACCAAAGAACGAAATGGCCGTTATTGCACCGAAGTTCGGAGATTCTACTGGTTGGCATCCAGCTTGCTTTACCTGTGCCACATGTGAACAAGTTCGTAGTTTTACTTTAATAAGAGAAAATAGATCATACTACTTACCAAAATTGTTTGTTGGAGCGTTTAGTTCACTTTTAACTTAACCTGATCTCAAGAGTGAAAACAAAAAAAAGGAAAATCGAGGATTCGAATTTATTTAAAACTTGCAGCTTCTGGTGGATTTAACTTATTGTATCAAAGATAATGAGATTTATTGCGAAAGGCATTATGCTGAGTTACATAAGCCACGTTGTGCAGCTTGTGATGAGGTCAGTTTATATAACATTTCTTCCAAAACAGGAATTTTCTTTCAACAACTTCAGTTTTAAACAAAACATATAAATTGTAAATTCTTTTGAGAAGAGAAAAGAACTTTTTTTCGATATTTGCATAGTTTGAGCTAACATTGTGTCTCGTTTTAATTAGCTTACATAACCTTTTATTCTAATTTCCGTTTACACGTGAGTTCACGTGAAAATATTTTTCTATATACGGTAGTCTTAGTTTCGAAATTTACCTTTCCGTTTTATCTCCCATCAACTCTGTTGCTCTGTTGCAGTTGGTTTTGATCTTTCACAAGTTCATCAAAAAGCTTTAGTCTGTCAATGTGAGCTTTTCCTTTTTCTCTCCCCTCGGGGCACATTAGCTTCTCTTCTGACTTTCGGCTTTCTTTCCTGTACCACATTTGAACCTTCCGAGTTTTTTAAAATATCTTCTAAAATACAAGAATATCAGTTTAGCAATCAATTCTTTTCCTTCTCCCAAAGCTGCTGCTTCGTGTCATTCTATTTTCGACTTCTTATGATTCAGTCTAATTTTTTTTGATTTTCTTATCTTCTTCAGTTAGAATTTTATTTTTTGTTCTTATCTCTTGAATTGAATCAAAGCTAGGAAGCAGTTTTCACGTGAACACCTCCGCGTAAAGAAACAGAATCATTTTTGACTTTTGAGTCCAGAGAACGGTTGCATTCATCCTCGCTCTTTCTATTCCTCCCTCTCTCTTTTTCTCTCTCTCTCTCCCTCTTTCTCTCGATTCGCTCATTTTACTTTTCTTTTTCTCTCTTTACATTTCCATCGTTCACTCCGGTTCTCGCATCCTCTCTCTCTCTTCTCTGTGTATTTTAAATATTTATCTCAATGTTCATTTTTTTGATTAATGAATCTGTGAGCTCTGAGAATACCTTCTCTTGTACTTTTTAAACTGATATTTCACTAATCGAACTCGCATTCTCTCCATACTATCAAACGAAATGCAATTTATTCGAAAAATCGTCTCGTTCAACTGCAATTCCTCACATGCACCGACTCTTCCGCCTCACTTACCTAATTTGGATGGCTTGGCTAGCCTTCTGATGCCGTCGTCGGAACAACGACGTTAATCCATACCGTTGCATTGGCTAGATGAGGCTGAAAATATATAAAAAAAATATTTCTATCCAAATTATTCGATTATTTAACTTTCATTCTTAGCATTAGTTGGAAAAAAAACAATTATTTTGGTCTAGAGGGAGATTTTTTGATTTGGGAAGAAGCCTAAATTAATAGAAGCTTCTTTTTCTTTCTCTTTTACTCTTTATATTGTATGTCTTTTTCTCATCATTTTTTCATCTTATTTCTCATGTCCGAATTCTTATGCTTTCTCTGCCTTTCTCTATTTCTCATTTTCATCGCTTATTCCGTCATTTGATGACGAAGGTAAAGCTGCGATGGGTGTGGAGGTTGGTTTGGTCGATGGGGGTGGCAGATGAGATATTACAGCCAATCGTCGTCTGGACTCATTCTTTTAGTTGTTCGAGTGAATCTTAGCTTCACCCTTCTTATTTAATAGATCAATGGAAATTTCTATTCGAATACATGTATTTATATAAACGTGTATGCTCTAGAGAGAAAGGGAAAAGAGAGAAAGACGAGAAAGAAAGTGCTGATCAAAAGAACAAAGCTTTTACCTCTTCATCGAATCTTTTGTATTCTCTTGGAAAAGTCATCATCGGAAATTTTTTTTTGAAATTATGAAACATTTTGTTTTAAAACCTTTTCTTCATAACGTTAGTCATCCGAGAAAGGCGAAGCTTATATCAGTTGCTCATTCTGTGCGTTCTTCTACCTCTTCCTTTGCTCTGTTCGGGGGAAGATCATCAAACGATTGTCTGTTTTTTTAGTTCTAAATCTGTTCGTTCCTATCTCCATCTCCTCTCAAGTTTAATCATTTCTCTTTTTCTCTTGTGAAAGACGAAGGAAAAGGCTGAAACCGTCATTACTACTTAAAAATCAATCGAACGATCCTAATATAATATGGTTTTTGAGTTAACTGACAGCTCGTTTGACATCTATTTCAAATACTCTTCATTCTCGTCTACTTTGCTGAAGAAGAAGAAAAGCTTTTTCTTTTGTTATTTCTTTATGTTTTTCAATAACTGTCCTCTTCTCGAATCCATAAATACTACATGTAGACAGATAGACATAGATTCCCTTCTGAATTTACCCCGGCGACGTGCCCATCTCCCTATGGAGCTGCTTATACATCCTGAGCTTTCTCGTTTGCTCCGTTTTTCCTTCTTCATCTTCTTCCTTCTACGGACATTTTTGAATCTCAAATCTCGTAAAAGATGGAGAACAAAAAAGAACAAAAATGAGAAATAGCATTGGAAATTTGGAAGAAGCCCGATTTTTACGAGCTCATCCAGTAAACCACGCGTTTGAGCATAAGTCAGAAGCCCACAGCCAGCTGTTGCTTGTTTATCCTTAGGAATAGTCTTCTCTCTCTTTTCCGTCCTCTCTCTTTCTCTCCAAGTTCTTTCCCTGCCATTTCTATATTTAGTTCTCCTCTCTCTTTAACCTTTTACCTCTTAATTTTCATTGTTAACGTTAAAGTTCAAATGTTCTGAACAAAGTGTGTCTTTTCCACTATGCTTAATTCGTAATTAGCCGAGAACTTGCACGCTTGTTATTCACCTTTTCTCCGGAACAATCTTTCTGCTCATGGAAGATCGTTTAGGCTTTCAATGCTCAACCTTATTCTCTTTTCTCCAATCTTTTCACTTCTCTCTCCCTCTCTTTTCCTTTTCCCATATTACAATAAGCTTTATCATCTACATATCATTGAGCTTCATCTTGTGCTACATGCAGAAGAATATTTTATGAGAAGAAAAATGTGAACTCCATTGTACTTAATGTTGATAAAGATTATTTCCACCCACCTCACCAGTCATCTCAGGAAGTTCTTTTTTAAAAACAATGAAGTATAATTTTTAAGGCCTCTTTACTACTCTTTACTACTCTCTCTCCCTCTCTCTCTCTCTCTCTCTCTCTCTCTCTCTCTCCCCTCCCTTCCTGAATTTCCCAACATTTTTTTTGTGCGAAAGAACGAAAGCGAAATATAAAAAGGAGAAATCGTGAGCAATTCCAAATCTCCAACTGTGCTCTTTTTTTCTCTTTTTTGTCTTTTTCCAGCTTCGATTCAACATCTTCAAATAGCATTTCGTTAAGTTTATACTAAGAAATCGCTCAAAATATCTTTGCTCTCTTCTATCAAATATGAATTTCTTCAAAAATCTCATTTTTATTTCAGAATTTTAGTTAATTTTCACTCCAATCCTATAGCATTCATTTGATTTCAGCTAATTTTTGCCGGTGAATATACAAAAGCCATGAATAAGGACTGGCACAGTGATCATTTTTGTTGTTGGCAATGTGACCAGACATTAACCGGACAAAGGTAATCTATTGCATGTTCTTATAACATTTATATAATATGTAACTTTAAGATATATAATGAGAGAAGAGCAACCATATTGCATCAAATGTTATGAAGATGTTTTTGCTAATCAATGTGATGAATGTGCAAAACCAATTGGAATCGATTCAAAGGTCAGAATGTTATACATATGAGATACGATGAAACATGAAAATTATTATTTTAATCAAAAATGATAGTTTTCTTGTATTCTTAACTCTTTTGACGTCACATTCGTGATGTCATCGAGAATTCAACGGAAATCGGCATCGGAAGCATCTTCCAACTTCTGAAGCCGCCTTTTTTTCTCGTTTCTCCGCATGCACTGAAAGGATTAGTTTCGTTTATTCATTAGATTAGTTTCAAAAATGCATTCTCACTTTGTTACTCAGGTAATATAAGAAGTTTGTATTCGTTATTGAAATTGTTTATTCGTAAGCTTTTCGCTGAATTTGAAGTTGTTGAAGCTCGATAATAGTTCTATTGAAAACCTTTATATGCGAATTGACTTTCCTCTCTATTGAGAGCTGAGATATGGCAATAGAATGTTTTATAATTATTATAATTACAGGATTTATCATATAAAGATAAGCATTGGCATGAGCAATGTTTCTTATGTAATATGTGTAAAATATCATTAGTTGATATGCCGTTTGGAAGTAAAAACGATCGGATCTTCTGTTCCAACTGCTACGATCAAGCTTTCGCAACAAGATGTGATGGATGTAACGAAATATTCCGAGCTGGTTAGATTGAATAATAATAGCAGTTAATATGCATATGTTTAGGTATGAAAAAGATGGAGTATAAGGGTAAACAATGGCATGACAAATGTTTCTGCTGTGCTTTATGTAAAAATCCCATTGGAACCAAATCGTTTATTCCAAAAAATGAAGATGTGTATTGTGGAGCTTGTTATGAAGAAAAGTTCGCTACACGATGTAATAAATGTAAAAAGGTGATTTATATGATTCTAATCATTCCAAATATTCGTACGAGAAAGACAGTATAAGAGATGCAAATTCATTTACGATATTCAAGACTTGAGTATAACTGTTCTTCTTAATATCTCTCAATCGTTTCTTAATTAGTGAGATATTGTAAACTAGATTTCATAATCATCTCATTCACTTTCCACAGTATCATTCAGAACAATAATTATAACTGTTATAGGTCATAACAACTGGAGGAGTAACTTACAAGAATGAACCATGGCATCGTGAATGCTTCTGTTGCACTCATTGCAACTCAAGTTTAGCTGGACAACGTTTTACCAGTAAAGATGAAAAACCATATTGTGCCAATTGTTATGGAGAGTTATTTGCTAAGAGATGTAATGCTTGTACGAAGCCAATCACTGGTTAGCATCCGTTTTTTATTCACTGCTTAACGAAATAATTCAGGAATTGGTGGAGCTAAATTCATTTCTTTTGAAGATAGACATTGGCATAATGACTGTTTCATGTGCGCTCAGTGTACAACTTCATTGGTTGGAAAAGGCTTTATAACAGATGGAACTGACATATTATGTCCTGAATGTGCAAAAGCTCGTCTGATGGCCGCTAATTCATGACCAAACCAATCAAAGGATATTTAAATGAAAAGCTTATTTTTCTTAAGCGCACATACATACGCATAAAAACAAAAACATAATTCAATCAATTAAGTATATTATATCCTTAAATTTATATGCCTTATAATAATTAGTAGACTACTGCATGTATCATTTGATTTCACATCCGAGAAGCTCATAGTGACGGTCGCAAACTCCTCTGAAGAATTATTTGAACGTTCTTCTACGTATCGCAAGCGACCCATTCAGAAGCACCGCGATCTTTCTATTGTTTCTTATTAACTATTTTATATAATATTTTCCATACATGCACATTCGTTTTTTTTTCTTTTTTTTCTTGTTTTAACATCAACACCCCTCTGTCCATGCCTGTTCTCACCTCCACCCTTATGCCAACTCATGTTTCCTATCGTTATGGCATTATAGAAAACGCTCAAATCGTATTCAACAGCTTCTTCCTAATGTTAAAGCCTTGACTCGCCCAGTGTGCTCATCCACGGTGTATATAGAAATTTCTGTTGTAATTCCTATAAAAACTTCTCTTTTCACACCTTGCAAATTGAAACGCTTCTCATAATAGCCTAATCCGTTGGCTTCTTCTTTCTTTTCTGATGCGAACGTGGAAATATCATTTTGTATCAACCACTTGAAGAAGTTGGAACATTTCAATGGAAATCAATGAGTTGCCAGAGAATGGAACACTTATCGGTACTGGACGGAACCGTCTGCTTCGTCGCAGCCCACAATTCCGGTGCAGTTCAATTAAAGCCTTTTGTTTAGTTGTCGTTTGACCAAAAAAGTAAAATTACATGGTTCAGCCCTTCTGTTGTAACTCCGCCTAATCAAGGGTATCAGCGCTATCTATCTAGTCACTTCTCGTTATTTTCATTTTGCTTAGCCATACTTACTTGGAAGTTTCAAAATATTTCCTGTATATTGGAAAAAGTCTTGTAACAGCGAATATCTGAGCACACAACACCCCATGTGCGCATACGCACACACACATAACACTCAAAGATACATAGATAATTCCAGTTTCAAAATTTTAGATTAATGTATATATCTCATTTTCTCTCCTTCACACTCTTAAACAACAAGAACAACACCAGAGACACTGATTAGTTATAACCCTTAGTCATCAAAATGTGTCGTATCTATTCATATTGAATTTTTTCGTTTTACATGGAATAATAAATTGCATTTTATGAACTTTCTTGTACTTTCGTATGTGAACATCACAAAACATTGGTGAGTATTGACTCCATGCCTAGTTACATTGTAATAACAATTTTAAACGAAAGTGAACTCCCTAGAGTTTTCGAGACCATGCTTCAAGTTTTTTAAAGGCGTGGTGTAATGCATCATCACAGTGCTTCGTCTAGTCAATGCTCTCATTATAATTTCAGTGAGCCCGCAGAAAGAAAATGTACACAGGCTGAGTGTACGTAACTGGTAACTCTTTCCCTTGTATAATTATCGTCAGAACCGAACTCTCATCAGAAAATTCTGGAAACTTCTGTTTATATATGCATGTATCATAACAATAACAACAACCATACAACAAACTGATGTAACAAAAATGATAACAATTTCAAAAAAAACAAATTAATTTCTGCCGCGACTGTTCTTCTTCCTTGAGTAGTCTAACCGACCGTCTCCATTTGATCTATCACGAGATCCTCCAAAACTGTTTGACCTTCCAGGTCCTCCGGGCCTACCTTGGCCTCTCATTCCTCCTCGTCCGCCTGATCTACCACGACCTGCTGGCCTTTGTGAATCTCTATCACTACGGGCATCGTTAGAGTAACCGTTATCATCTTCACCACGAGCTATTTTAGCTTGCTCTTGCCTTTCGTAGTATCCACGACGTTTAAACACCCTTTTGCCTCTTGGTTCATCGCCTCTCTCTTCTTGTTCTTTCTCCTCTCTATAAAGAATGATCTTCACAATATATGGAAGATTCACTAACCTCTCACGATTCATTGCGATTTCGCGATCTCTTTCGCGTTGATTTTCAATTTCTTCCGACTGACCAGTAGCTGCCGCTTGCTGTCTGGCAGCCTTCTCCATATAGCTCTTGAACTCAGCTTCCTATGAAAACTTGAATCACAAGAGAATAGGATTTCGATAAGAACCTCTCTATCTTTACTCTCTTTAAGAGCAGTCAATCGGCGAATAGCTCTGTGCTGACTGTCTCGCTCAGCTTGCTTCTTCAGCTTCCTCAAATAATAATCGTTTCATTTCTGATTACAAGTAGTGTTCTTACTTGACTAGTGGAGCCTTCTTTCTTAGTTCCATAACTTCAGCTGGAGTCTTCTCGACATACTTATGGTATAAGACTTCTCCTTCGTCAATTCCTTCTTCTATCTTCACTAATTCAAGCTTCAGTCTGGGGCCTAACTCCATTAATCTGAATAGTTATGCTTCATTTTTTAATAATCGCATTTTCCGTACCTGACATTAGTAGCTTGACCAACACCACATCCTGTAGCAGGACTAATTTCCTGAGGCAGCTCCACTTCCTGTTGCTCTCCCTCAAACTCACTATCACTCAATTGGCCCGGACTGTAACAACAAGATAACTCGATTGTAAGAGAGAAAAAAGCTAACTTCAAAAAAAAATCGGATATGTCCTTATATCTTGAAAGATCGGGAACTGCTTTGGTGGCTAGTTTTTCAGCTTTGATTATTTTTTTAGTAGACTTGGTGAGACCGGAAGCAACTACTCTGATAGCACTGAAAACTCAATCAACAAAGAGCATTCAACATGAAATTTACTAATGCCGTATGTCAACTGTGTCATCTTCTTTGTTATAATTTACCATCAAACATCGCTTAACTGTTTTCAAGTTAATCTGAATTGATAATCACAAATGAAAAAATTTATGGGAAAACCAACCGTATCGACATTCAAACTGGGAAACATGTTCTGAATGAAAGTTTGAACTAAATTCAAATGTTTCTCTTGACCAGCAAAGCCGTTCATAACAACAAGGGGTAAACGCTTATAAAACGAATCGGAAGACACTGGTCTCTTTTGAGAAGAAACAATGTGGCGAGCAATAGAATATTGTTTAACTGGAATAGTTTGTTTCTTGTAACAGCAAAAAAGAAAGCTTATTTTACCTTTATAGCACAGAGTAGGACCTTGCGGAAATCTCATCATACGCAATTGAAGACCGTTGTCACTCATAGTCAAAACCATCATGTTTGTAACACCAAGAACTGCACCAGTAACAATAAAATCTTTGATATTGTTATCCTTATTGATCTGAAAAAGTATAATGTACACACTTTCTACAATTTTTACGCACCTTCAACTTCATAGCAGTGTTCGGGGACATTACGTTACGTAAATCTCTCTCTAAAGCTCTCACATACTTTCCTACTTTTCCACGTCTGATGACGATAGTGTGAGGTTGACTGTAATAGAAATTTTCGTCTGCAAGACAAAGAAAAAACCCATACCGAGCTAGTTCTTGCTCATGTAACTCCGAAGCTGAAACTTTTTTTATCTTCTCGATTCTCTTCTCTTGCTCAGCAAGGGCATCATCCCGGTCATCCAATTTTCTAGATCGCTGAACAGATTTACTACTTATTTTTGATTTTCCAATTCAACACAAACCTTGGATTTTCCGAAATTAGAGCCTATCCTACCCCTTGCAGAAGCTTTAGCATTACGGCTTCTGCTTTTTCTTCTGGCCATTCTAAACACAAAAATTAATATTCAAATTTAGCATTCTACTCTAAAAAATAGTTTTTACAAATGTTTCGAATTACGTAGATAGTGGGCAGATAAGCAGCCAGTGTGCAATTGCGTACAAAACTTCATAGCAGCCCTGCTAGTCGATAAATTTCGCCCATATATTAATCGCGTCAGCAGTTTTTGTTACCGTTATTTATTTTTCTTAGTACTTTTTGATATGAAAAAAAGAAAAGTAGTTCGTTAACCTTTTATAAACCAAAACGAAAATTTGACTAATTGTCCAATATATTCATTGTAGTTACCAAGATGATGCCTTGGTATGAACACGATACTAGGGGGGATCCCCCAAACACAACACAGGTATTTTTTGAATAGAAAACGAAATTTCCTAATTTTTCTCCCTCCAAGTCGAACTATGGGAGTTGGAACGGCAGGAATGATCAACAGTACTATAGAGAAAATGATAGAGTGTATGATGAACAAAACACACATGCCTATCGCCATCAGAATGATAGTTCACGTTCGCGGTAAGAAAAGTTTTGTATTCGCTATGCTTTAGTTATTATTGATATCTTTTCCCTCGATTATTCTGTGTTTTTCATTATTTTTTCTCTCTAGTATTATCTTAATAAGGTTATTGGGTAAAAAGCTTCTTTCTACAGCGATCAGCAAAGCGGACATATTCGTTCACGCTCTAGAAGTCATAGTAGGGGAAGAGGAAGAAGCAGAACTCACAGTCGGAGTAGAAGTAGAAGTCGAGAGCGAAGGCGGTACAGAGGCTCGTATTATTGCCCTCTTAGAGCATTCTCTTTAAACGTTTAAAAGATTTTTGATTTTTAAGGACGTAGTCGATCGCGATCGCGATCTCGCAGACGCTCTAGGTCTCGGAGCAGAAGCAGGGTATTTGCGAATGTTTCTAGCTTTCAACTTAGACTTTGAATTGAATTTGTAGGGGGACGAACATGGTTTGCAACCAGTGAATAAACTCCATCTTGTGAACTTACCCTCAGACGTAGATCGTTCTATGGTACGGGCAACTTTCTATTTTTAGAATTTTGTCTCGGGGTTCTTGTTTATGCATACTAATTCTGAAACTCTACAGATTGCCACCGTGTTGGCTTCCTCTGGCTTTCACCCTGACGACATAAGAGTTGTTCACAAGAACTATGATAAAGGTAAGAACCATGAATTGATAGCGCTCATTCCGCCTTACGGTTTGTTTACTTGATGTATCTTCGCGGAGAAGTTCGGAAGTGTTTATATTGTTGCTGTCATTGTTGATATTTTGATGTATAAGTGAAAATAAGAGCAACGAGTTCTGAACAAAACATAATTTTGAAACTGATCGGTGCACGCTACAGGTGCTCCACGTTCGTTTGGTTTTATCGACTTTTCTGATGCGAGTACAGCTGCAAAATGGATGGGAATGTCTAAGGTTGACAGTTAATTTCTTTTCTTCTTAAATTTCAGCTCATCTAAGAACAGGTAACTCCAACATCCCAAGGATTTCTTTTTGCTTCTTGTATCATCGTTCTCTAATAATAACTAAAGCATGATAGCGAGATTGACTTTGTCGCTTGTCGATCCAACGTTCATTTTTTTAGGGATGGCTAGTACTGCCTGATGGACGCCGTGTTACTGTTCAGTTTGCCAGAGGCGACCAAGGAAATCGAATGAGAAAATCCGCTCAGGATTGGAGCTGTGCTAATGTTTGTCACACTACCATATCCCTTAGGAACTGTTTTTCAGTGTTCTGCTCAAAACTTTTTTAAAAGAGAAGCATGCTACAAGTGCGACACTGACAAGAATCAGTCAATGGAAATGGAAAGGCAAGGAATTCATATGGTTGGATCTGTGCCGTGTGATAGTAAGGAAAAAAATATATAGATAGGATGAACTGTTTTTTAGCTCTCCTTGTTCGTTCACTTCCTCCTGGTGTATCTACCAACGCTATTTTTGATGGACTTCGCAACAACACGAATCTCACCAATATTATACAAGTGAATCTATCAGATTCTAAGCTTTACGCCTATATTCAAATGAAATCCATGGAAGAGGCTACGCTCTTAGTTGATTCGTCTTATAAATACCCTCTGAAAATGATGTCTTCTGACGGTATTGTTAGAGTTTCCGTAATTGTTCATAACTTCGCTTTCAGTGATTTTAACTTATTCTCGGTACCCCTTGAACCAGTTATTGAAACAAATAAATGATCTCCAAAGAAATATCTCAATGGATCCTCTTCCGCCTATAATGAACGGGGGACCTGGTAAACTGTTAAGATCATAAGTTAGTTACTTCGATTATTCAGTCTCCGGTGCCGAGGTTGCGCAAGCTGCTATCATGCGTCAAAGACATGGCATGCCTATGGTTTGTAAAAGAATGAGAATACGTTGATATATACTTATTATGATTCAGAATAATATGCAGCAGATGGTAGGATCAGGCTATTCTATGAACGCTTCTGCACAATATTCAATCCCACCTCCAAATCTGGCAATGATGTCAATTAATACAAATGTGCCTCCCCCAATTTTGCAACAAAACTCTCAAATACCAAACACCTTGGATCCAACCCAGACAAGAGGAATAATAGGGATCGTGCCTACACCACGCGGTGTTCTGTCTAAATATAGTTAGGGACAATCATAGTTCGTATTCACTGACTTTTCAATTTTCAGTCGTTCCTAACCCCATGACATTCATGCATGATGCTTCAAGCGGCTATTTTATAGATCCTATAACCAACTTTTATTATGATCCGAAGACAACTTATTATTTTAATAATGAAACACAAGAATGGACATTTTGGGACAATACTTACCAGACATATATGCCTGTACAATCCGTATGTCTCCCTTATTAACTTCTCTGTAAATTGAATTACTAGGAAGAGACAAAGCAAACTTCATCACGAAAAGAAAGAAGAGAAGAGAAGAAGAAAGAAGAGGACGGGCCGGTACTGCTTTCATCCTTTGTATCACTTGAACTTGTTTTCAGAAATCAGCGGCTCAAGTTAATAAGGAGATGGCCAAATGGGCCAAAAAACAAGAAAAACAGAAACTACAATTCTCGATGAAACCCTTAGTTAAAACGTTGGAAACGAAAAGTGCATTTGAACCACAGCCCTCTGTCTCTGCAGCGGTCGATGAGGAAAGATCCAAAGTTAGTAATAGTCGTATGTTTCTCTTAATTATTAATTTAATTTATCCAGTCTCGAGAAGAGGACAATTCTGAGGATGATGAGGAGAAATCACCTAGTAGAAAAAACTCAACAGGGTCCAACGTTAATATGGAACAGCAACAGCTTGCTTCATCTACCTCCAGTGCTCCTATTCAACCTCTCCAGTCGTTAGAAGAAAAGTTGGAGATTATGGAAAGAGCACTTGTCGATGAAGGCAAGAAAATGTGTCTACTCTGCAAGCGTGCTTTCCCTAGCGTGGACGTCTTGCGAAAACATGTGGATAAAAGTGAATTACACAAAGTAGGAATATTGCAAGCAATATTGTGTAAACTATTAATTTAGAAAAACCTAGAAACAAAGCGAGCTGAGTGGGGCATTGATACATCTTCAAAGCAAGTAAATACAGGAGCAGAACCGGATGCCGCTTATAACGCCTTGTTAGCATCCAATAGCTTCGCTAGTTTGCAACCAAAAACCGTTTATCGTGATCGAGCCAAAGAGAGAAGGAAACAGTATGGCATTGATGGAAGTAAGAAAATTAACAAAATGCAAAAACATTTTTTGTTCTAGGTTTTGCGAGAGAAGACAGAGAATATGATGACGAAGAAAGAGCACGATATGATGCCGATAATGCAACTAAGCGACCTTTGGACAGTTTCGGTATTGGAGGCAAACTGCTCAAAAACATGGGTTGGAAAGAAGGCGAAGGTGTGGGTAAACACGGACAAGGTACTGCAGAATCTGTTAATTCTAATCACATGAGCTTTACAGGAATTGTGAACCCGATTGAAGCTGAAAGAAGGGTAGCTGGAGCTGGATTGGGCTCTTCAGGCTCTAAGATCTCCCACAGTGCCGAAGCCAGTCACAAGGAAAGAGTCCGTGCATCATTCTACAATCGATATCGCGAAATGGATTGAAAAATCTGTTAACAACGCAACTCCTACGAGTATTTTTTTTTCGAATTTTATTACTTTGTACGGTTTTTGTTATAATATGAATGAAATTGTTTAACTAATAACATGGCGTTGTTTTGTCTAAAAACAACAGCGTATTACTTAAAAAACTAAGAGCCAACTTACATTTGCCTACTACAGATTTCAGAGTTTTCCTTTTGTTTTCATAAGTTCGCAACAAATAGTAACACTGATACACGAGCAAAACACAGGTGGAAATATAAAATGCGAACGAACTCATACTTGCCAAATTCTGGAAGTTAGGCCTGAGCGCAAGTTATCAGTCATTTAATTTTTTCAACTTACAGCAAACAATTCATGGTTTTAGGAACGACTGCTTCTAGCATCAAAACTGAAGAAAATGAAAATTCAAACGCTCAGTCTAGAAACTATTTGATTCAAAGCTTTGCTACCAGATTTCCCAGAAGACTTCCTTTTCTTCTTCAATAAGCCCGTTGGGTTCTTCTTCAACTTTTTGACAATAAAAGATCGCCCTGCAAGCAACCGATTACAGAACAACCATTTCCCGTTATACCCCTTAGCTTCTCCATTTTTTTGACCCGGGGAGTTCGAACTTTCGAATATTTAGATTTTATAACAGCAAATTCAGTCCCATTCTCAAGATGTTCCATCTCACACTCTACAAACAGGTACCATATTTTGAAATAAAAGATTTCAAAAGCCTTCTTCCAAATTAGTTTCCGAAATATGAACCCAATAGATCTGATAGAGTGAGACAATCAAGGATGGAAAACATCCTACGAATACGATATAAATACCCAGCACTCTCAAGTCCTGCCAGTTATCCCTGTAAATCCAAACTTAACAGTTTGCAAAGGAAGACTCACAAAACACATGTGGGAACGACCATGTCACGCAGAAATAGAATAGAAAATGAAAAATTGCCAACCCCGTAAACAATGATATAACAACCATTTACATCTTCACGAAAACAATAACAATTAGGAAGATTTAGATCATTTTCCTGAGGAGATTATTGATCTGGTCTTCTCTGTTTCCGAAATCTCCGCCCTCTACGAAGTGGTTGGTCTTCTTAGTCCATCCTCCGTTGGGGTTGTTGAGCTTGAAAGGCCAGAGGAAGTTGGTGGCTTGCTTGAAGTGTGGTCCAACAGTGGCTACCTCATGAACAAGATCTTCGATACAGATGATATCGAATTTGCCTGTAAGCAATAAATAATATTGAAAAATCAATAAGTTCTTACCGAGAGCCTTCTCAATCAACTCGTTGTCAGTGATTGGGATACGGCTTCCGTTGACCTTAGCATATCCTCTCTTGTAGATCAAGTCATGGATAGACTTCTGGTTGGGGTATCCCCAAGCAACGTATGGCTCGACAATACGGAGAAGTGGAAGAGTGGCAGCGTTCAATCTGACGAAGACTCCGTTGTTGATTTGACGGAGACGGAGAAGTTGAAGGGCCTTAAATTAAAAACACTATGAGAGTACATGAAACCGATTCTCACCTTTCTTGGCTTAGGATGGATTTGGTTAATACCTCTGATTCTGATGACAAAGGCAAGCTTTGGCTCATCAGGAACGTAGATGCTATTGTTCTTCAAGGCATCACGCTTCAGTCTAACGAGATCTTTTTGGGCATCTCTATATTCGCGGACGTATTTCTCGGCGCGCTTGAAGATGATGGCCTTCTTCTCCTTGTACTTCTGAACTCAGAAAATATCTTTAGAATTTAATACTAACAACTTACGGCAGCAAGCTTGACTTTGTGCTGGACGGCCTTAGCCTTAGCCTCGCTACGTTGCTTTCTTCTTTTCAAAACGGTCTCAGGAACCTGTGGAAGTTTCTTCCTAAAAAAAAATCAGTTTGGATACAAGCTAAAATTTGAAAAATTATATAAACTTACTCGACCATTGTTAAGTCGTGGTACCCTGCAATTGGAAAAAATTAGTCAAAGAGTCAAAATCAATAAAATATGAAAATTAAGCATAAAACTGATAGAAATAATCTCAAAATAGCTATCTATTACTTCCAAAAGTTACAAAAAAACTTATTATACTTCCTACTTCAAAGTGATACAGCTTAAGAAGCTTTTCAAACAATTAAAATAGTTGAAAAACAATCTAAAAAAGCTTTTGAATACTTACAAATTTAGGCCAAAAGACCATAGAGAATTTAGGAAATAGCAAGGCACAGTGCACCTCATGACACAAAGGGTTTTCGTTGCGAGACATCCAAAGGACGCGCGTGCAGTAACGCGTTGCGGATCAAACAAGAATTGACGTGGACAGACTCGTATGGTAGCAGCCTGTTGTTCAATTGAGTTTTTCTGACGTAATTTTAGTTTGCTGTTTACTAAATCGTTATTATATGTAACTTCCTTGATATTTAGTACACACAACGTAAATTCATCAACCAAGTTGATAAATTTTGCCTTCATGCATTAAAATATTTTCATTGGCTGTTAGTCATCGTTTACTCACACACTTGTGAAATTGAAAACGACAATTCATTCTACCATTTTCCAGTCTCCATACTATCTAGGATGGGTTCGCGTGATGATGAGTACGACTACTTGTTCAAAGGTATTTTTTTTGCTGGTGCTCAAAACTTATATTTGATTAGTTGTCCTGATTGGAGATTCTGGCGTCGGAAAGTCCAATTTGCTTTCTCGTTTCACAAGAAATGAGTTCAATTTGGAGTCGAAGTCAACTATTGGTGTTGAGTTTGCAACCCGAAGTATCCAGGTTCGGTTTCAGTTCTTATTGTTTGCTTATAATTTTTTCATTATAGGTTGAGGGTAAAACTGTTAAAGCTCAGATTTGGGATACTGCTGGACAAGAACGATACAGAGCCATCACATCTGCTTATTATCGCGGTGCTGTGGGAGCTCTTCTTGTTTATGATATCGGTTAGATTGCGGCCTGTGATGAATCTGATGTTCATTTTCAGCAAAGCACGTGACCTACGAGAACGTTGAGCGTTGGCTCAAGGAACTCAGAGATCATGCTGATCAAAATATTGTAATCATGCTAGTTGGAAACAAAAGTGATTTAAGACACCTGCGCGCAGTACCTACTGATGAGGCCAAGATTTATGCTGAGAAAAACCAGCTATCATTCATTGGTATTCTATAAGGATTGGAACATGTTATCACCTTCATTTTCAGAGACTTCTGCATTGGATAGTACAAATGTTGAAACTGCATTCACTAACATCTTAACCGAGATTTACAAAAGTGTGTCCAACAAGCACGTTGGTTCGGACCGTATGCTTCAGCTACCTAATTCTGGTATCGACATCACTGCTCCTTCCAACGATTCACAGAAGAAACAGTGTTGTAATTCTTAATCACGAGTCTCGCTACCCATGGTCTATTAATGAACCTATTATACGCTTTTCGGGCCCATTTTTGGTGTGAGGTGTTATTGTACTTTTCTCGGTTGTAACTGTGATCTGAACTTGGGTTCGTCTCAAGTACAGAAATTGCCCAAATTCGCAATTATTTTCATAATCGAACATTTTACTTTGTTTTAACTTGGGCATGTTTGTGATGAATAATGCTCATAATGCTTAGTATGTTCCTTGGTGGATGTTATTATGCTCTGAGACCTTAATGTTCTGATTCCTAAATTTTGTATAATATACTCTTGAACCCATCTAAACGTTTTAATTTATTTAGCACGATTTCATCCGTATATTGATAAAGATTTTCTAAAAATTTGTTTTGATTTGTATTCGATGATCGATTTGCATACTTATGTCCATCATGAAAATTTTCAACAGTGTCAAATAATGAAAACAATGTGAATAATGAAGACTTTCAGAATGACTAATGCTTGTTGTTCCAATGTACAGAATTCTGAGAAAGCGGCATCTAGCAGTCCCCAGAAGATACAGAAAGAAGATAAGTCACCGAACAGAAAACGGAAACCATTGGAGCCTAGCCCTGACTCCGTATATGATTCCCTATCTAGTACTACACGCCCAAAGCGAAATGCAAGGAAGAGCGTTTTGTTATCAGGAGGAGAATTCGAGGTTGACTAATCTTTGAAGCATCCATAATACCTGTCTTATCTAGGTTTTCTATCCAGGCGTGAGAACTGATGCCATGGGGGCAGTAGAGTCAGTTGCGGTTCAGTCGAGCATGCCGTCTTCTAGTGCTAGTCAGATCGGAAAAACGAAAAGGGTGAAAATGGAATCAGAAAAATCTGATTGCGAAGTTGATGTAGAAGGGGAATTAGAAGAGCAGGAGTACAAACCTGGACATGACGCACTTGATGTAACAAGTCCTTATGCGCTTGATTGGATTATCGATTGATTTTTCAGATGTCTGGGGCAGAGGTTGACGTAGAAGTGGAAGCTATGTCTAATATAGATGAGAATAATGAAGATATGATGATCACATTGAAAGAATCATACAGTGACGGAGAATACAACGAAGATGATGACATTCCTCCACGACTAGAAAAAATTAAAGGCGTTCCGTATGCAGAAAAGAGAATTTGACTCATTAAAATTCGATTTGCAGGGAAGCTAAACGGAAACGTGGGCGTCCTCGTAAGTATCCCATTGGTCAGACACCTTTTAGAAGAACTGCAGCTATACCTCGACCTCGGCAATCCATAGGGAGGCCTCCTGGATTTCCTAGAAATAAGTATACATACGATAAACCAATCACTAAGACAGAAGCTGAGAAAATTAATTCTTTTAATGTCAAACTGGTAAAAATATATAGACATGCATATACATGCTGTTAAATTTTTTAAGTTCGAAGATGAGATTGGTGTTACGGAGCACGGAGATGTGTATGCGACTGTAATCCCAGGGTGCTTATCCTATCTACTGCGAAAAGAACGAATTATCGATCTACTAACCAACCGAAATGAAATTAATGCGATGTAGGTCTTATGTATCAGAGCTTCTGACAAAAAGTGATTCCAGAAGACAACAAGGTTGGATGTCTAGGAAATCTCCCAGATTACCTCCTCTGGTGAATACGAAAGCGTGCTTTGCTTTTTATGTCGAAGGAGCTGCAGTTACTTCCATAAGGGACTTGTCAAGCGATGATCTCAAACCTTGGACTTCTTCCGGTACATACTCATACATAAGAAAGCGTATATAACTGCTGTCTAGTGAGCGATCCGTGCGAAGGAGAACCTGTAATAAAGCCTAATGTACGTAAACATGCCATAATGCGCCAAGGAGCTCGCCTTGTACCTTCCAAAGGTGATCCTAGAACCGCTGACATCCATTTGACAGAATACAGTGCCTGGTTGCCGCGATGTCTCCGGTTACGGAAAAAAGTGAGTGATGCTTAATCTGAGAAACATTGATCAGATTCTCTATGAGTGACAAATAAAATAAACTTCTAGATTTTTTATCTTGCCCGTAATGGACATATCATTGGAAACGTTTTAATACTTTATGATTTTACGAATGCTGGCGATATCCCTGTACTTCTTAATATAGTTCACGGAAACGAAGCTTTCCGGACTCAAACGAACGATGAGGAGTTTGAGAAAGGGCACTTATTATTCGTTGGTGACAACGAAGATCCGGTCAGTTATCCTCCTTCATTTTTATGTTGTGGTTGTACATGTCAACATTAGTGTGTGACTAAATGTGCACGACAAACTGTTGAGTCAACAGTATTAAGCATCGAGCTGAACTTGTTTGTTCAATGATGTTGCTTCGAACTGTATTAGAAATTTGATAGTAACAGTTCTTTCAGTTTATGGAAGAGATTGTTCCCGGTCCTAGAGGTGAACGTTTTCTCCAAGTTAAGCCGGATAAATATGGTTGGACTAATAATAAAAAGTTGCTACTAAAATATTTAATAAACGAGCCGTCACTCTTGTAAGATGCTCCTAGTTTGACTATAATACATAACCACTTTTACAGGGATCAAGCTGGATTTTTAAACCAACGCATTCCTTATCTACCTCCTCTTATCGAAACCCGTGGAGTTTTTGTATATTTCGCACCCTCTTCGATGGTTGCCGACCAAATACACTTTACCGGTGACGGATTGTCGCCGTGGACATTCCAAGGCAAAATTATTATCAAATTTTGCATTGATAAGTTGTAGTTTTAGGAGCGTCAGTGAATCACCGCGTTCGTACAGTCAAGCGTGGGCTCTGTCAGAATTCCCAAGGAGTTTTCGAAACAACGAAAGAAGATTGGCAAACGACAGGCCTTGCTCTAGTGGAAACCATAACAATTCTTTGTCGTTGTCCAAGATTACGAAAAAGAGTAACAAAAATTTTGAAAAATTGACGATCAACATATATTTTACAGATCCTGTATGTACAAAGACAGAATAGTGTTGTTATTGGTTTTGTATGCTTCATTTATGAATACATGAGAGAAGGACCGATTCCTGAAATCATCAAGTCCAATCATAAAGCCGGCTCGTTGCTCTCTCCCGATTCTATGGGTCCTTTAGTAAGAGATAGACGGGAAGCCATTTAGTGAATTCTCTCTACTTCAGTTACATCATCGGGACTCCAGTTTCACTCGAATCAAACAGGACACAAGCTCAAATACAGATGAAATGGTCGATGTAGAAGAACTAGTAGAGGAAGAAGTTGTACATGATGACATGCATGAGCAAGATACCACTATTGACCGCAGAAGCTTAGATTACTCGCGAATTGAAGATGTTCGTTATTCCCTTCATTCTCATCTCTATTCTTTGTTATAGTTCAAATATGAAGAACTGCCAGAAGACAGCTTAGATGGAGGATGGGATACAGAATTCGATGAAGATCTTCTCACAACTCAGGAAAACCCAATGCCGTTCTTTGATGGTATTAGACAATTAGAATCAGGACACACTTATCTGACTGTGAGGCACAAGAGAATTGCCAGCAACATGGAAACTATCCTAGAATACATTGCCAATTCCAATTTTGTGTAAGATCTAAATTTCTATTATTGGGGGAATGAATATGCTTTTGCAGAGATGAAAAAGGACTCATGAATACCAGCAAGCCAACGCATCCACCTTTGGTCAGAAATGCAAGAGCCTATGTATTTTTTGTTGCTGCCAATGCTGTTTTTCCTCATGATATCAATCGAGATGATTTCTCGCCTTGGTCTGCCAATGCTACTCGTAAGTCTAATCAGAATGTATATTGAGAGGATATCTGTTTTAGCTGAGAATCCCACTTGTTATCGTTCCAAAGTTAGAAAAGTCGGAGTTCTTTGCGATCCAAAATCTGGTCATTTCACTCTTCAAGATGGTGAATATAAACTATACCCTTACCACCTTGTAGCGTTATACAGTATTCACCCAAAGGAAGCTCGTCTGAGAAAGAGGGTTAGTTATCAGTATAAATGCTCTAATGATGTTTCATTTTAGATAACATACCTTATGGACACCGAAACTAAAATGATTGTCAGTCATGTTATGATCATGTATGATTTCAACACTGAAGGCCCCATCCCCCACATCAGTGGGCCTTATGGAAAACGTAGTGTTAGGAGGAGGGGCATGAGACGTTTGGTATGATATAATGTTTTACTATCTGATTTATGTGCAATATATTGTTTAAGGGACATGAGGCGCACATAGATGATGTTTTAGATGATGTGTCAGACGCTTCTGAATCAGAGAAAGAAAGCCCTGTACGTTTGTTTATATTTATGCTTTCTATAAACATCAATTTTAGTTTACGGGTGGAATGCAAGTTACTCCTGAGAGCGCTGTTTATCTATCATTGGCCAATGTAGAAGATTTCTGGACTGATCGTAATAGGATCCTCCACTTTTTAGTAAATAGGCCTCATCTTCTGTAAGGACAGTACCCGAATGTGATGAAGAGAAAGAAAATTACAGAGAATCTATGGGATGCTTGAACAATAGGGTACCAATGTTCCCACCTCTGATAACGGGACGAGGAGCGTTTGCGTTTTTCATGGATGGTAGTGAAGTTGATGTAAGGAACCTAACTTGCGATGGATTAGGGCCATGGTCCGAAAATTTACATTTGAGTAATGGTTCGTTGTTTGCCTGATGTACTATTATCTACTCTTTACAGGTAGCATAATGTGTCGTAGGCCAAAATCTTGTCGGGTGCCTTTGGGTTTGAATAGAGAAGGACATTTACGCGTTATTAAGGGAAAGCGTCCGTCTGAGCTTAGTGAATTTACCATGCATATATATGCTGCAACCCTGCCACGTTTAACAAGATTAAAGAAGAAAGTCAGTTATCACTACATTGTGGAAGTATCCCCCATTTTTAGGTGTATTATCTCTCCAAAGATGGCGTTCAATTTGGCCATTCTCTTATTATTTATAATTATGATCAAGAAGGTGATCTTCCTCAAGCTGTTGCCCATGGCAACTCTGTACATGCTGATAACGTATATATTCGCCTACCGCCCTCTTTAAAAGAAGATGCTCGCAAAATGTTGCACACATTATCTCCTCAAGAAACTGCCAAACAGTTATCAGATCGACATGGAATCCCTGTGAATGCAAGATCTGTGAGAGATTAAATCATTCTAATTTTCCAATTTCCGGCAATTCAGATCTACAACGTGAAACGAGAAATGAATCGGACTGTGATTCCTATAAACCAACGTGGTGACATTAGATATGATGTTAAATCAGAACAGTCTTATCATGATTTGGAGGACTCAATGGCTGACTATGTTCCGGACTGGATGACCGATCGGAGGCACGAAGCTGTGAGAATTTTGGTTAGAATAAACAGTCAATGTTTGTCTCATTTCAGGAACCAATCGTTACCGTGCCTGCTTTGGAAATTCAGGCTGTTGATGTTGGTGGTGTCAGAAGGACAACTAGGCAGATACGAAAGGTTGTAGAACCAACAGTAAAGTATTGTTACCAAATTCTTTTCAGAATGGTGTCTCCAATACGGGAACAGCTCCTAGAGCAGAGCAAACCGAAGAGATCTTCCGATACGTTAGTAACGTTATGAGCACAACGAATGAAAGCGATACTTTTGATGCAGTTTGGAGAACTTTAGTTCAGAAAGATGAGACTAGGATATTGAAGAATATCAAGAAGGTAGTATTCGCTGAATCATGTGATTGCAAACCGCTGTTTAAGGATTTCGGTGTGGAGATTGTCGCTGAAAGAAACTCTAGGAATGGTGACACAATTGAAGTTCGGGTTGCAAATGCTGTTATGGACGAATCCGTAATGCAAGAGCAGATATTAGAAGGAGAAATTGTAGAAGAAGAAGTAATTAATGAAGAAGAAGTAATAAATGAGGAGGACATCTTAGGAGAAGTAAGAAAACTTTCGGTCTATGCTAAGTAAGTGTGTGTCTGTTAAGGTTGTGCTGGATACCACATTGGAAGATGTCAAACTCGGTTAATCTAACACAATCATATGCATGAATTGATGTATATCTGTAATACTTAAACCAGGTACATATATATTAATCCAATCTTTCTCAAATTTAAATTACAGTTCAAAAACATCTGCAGATTCGCGACAGTGCATTCTCGCCAAGGGCCAGCTGATACACATTTGATACTCAATAATAAGAAGTGAAAATATTTTATTGTTGTTATTTTTGTTCACATGATCTTGATAATGTGTGTGTGTGTTTGTATTGGAAATGTTGTGTATAATTTAAAACTTTCAAGGCTAATAATTCTGTTAATATGTAATACATATTGTAGTTTGCCGCAAAATTCGTTAATAAGATAAACAGCATTCGATTATCTATGATTGTTTCACAATGTGTATTGTACTTACTTCGTAAAGAAGAAAAACTAGGTTGGTTCAGTATATTGGCCAGTGGTTTATTAGTTTGATGTCATATTCTCAAGGATATTCTTGAAGCGATTCTTGTAAGTTTTTGTTTCCAGACTCGTTTAACTAATTCTGCATGACGCCAGCCTGAAGAAAGAAAAAATCCCCTGGTGAGCTTCAGTGACTTGGTTATCCCAATTCCTCCCCAGATCCCAGAATTGTTTCTTCCAGTTTCAGAACATAATCGCTTTATAACGATATTGAGATGTCACTTTCCAAGTTTTAGAAAATAAGATTGGATCTACGAAGCGCAAAACCAATATGGTATTGAGGTCAAAATCATGTGAAAAAAAAACGAAGTAATAAAGATTCTTCCTAGATATGTCTATACTGTCAGCAGAATAGAGAATCTACAAAATCTAGACTTGAAAAATTGAAGAACCAATTGTTGTTGAGCAATTATGATAACTTTTCGTTTATCACAAGTCTTTAGACATCATGAAAAGTGGTGCAGTGATGTAGAGATGATGAGTGAGCGTTTCACACATAATAGTAATTTAACACATTGAAGAATTTCTGGATGAAGTCAGAACAAGCTGTAGTAAGATTTGCCTTGACGATAACGCCAATTTACTTGACAAATTCATGAAAACAATAAATTCGAAGTGTAAATCTAACAACTACAGCGACACATTCTTCGTCATCTTTCTTGATATAACTCTTGTTCTTCCAATGTTGTACAAGATTTACATTAGCTCGATGCATTCCAGCTTCTTGAAATTTCGAAAACGACTGTTCGAAGCGGATATATGAATTAATAGGCGGAGAATTGTTCACATATCTCCCGCAGGGTATATAAAGACAAAAAACACATTATTTTCACTTCATAACTGACAATGAAAGGCGATCCACTCGTCATGGACGAGGAACTCGTAGCTGAAATGGAAACATTTCGAAGGTTTGTTCTTCTGCCAGCTTTTTAAAACTCTCGAGAGCACGCTGATTGCGTCTTTAAAAGTCTTGACACGATTAGCGTTTTCGTATATTTTGATTGAGTTTAATATTACTTATGTGATCAAATTTTTACTGTTTAGATCTGCTTTTGGAGCCGTTGTGTTGTCTACTGTGACCGTTTTAGGATGTATTATTCTAATTCCATTAGCTTATCAGCGAATCCAGCATTTACATACCAACTTATTAGACGATGTTCATTTCTGTCAAATGCGTAATCGAGATCTTTGGGCAAATGTTTTCAAAGATGACCATTCGCGAAATAAGCGTGATGCCTCTGGACATTCTGAGCTGCCAGAGGGAAAATGGTTGTTTGGACATTTCATAACTTCCAAGCCAAAGTGAGCTTTTTCATTGAGAATTGTTTTACTTTTGCTTCAGTCGCAATCGTCGTCAAGATGGGAAATATCCAGCACCAGAAACTGGTGGAAATTCTTATCCTGCCGAAGGAGGAGCCAGTAATAGTTATCCTGCCCCTGAAGCTGCTGCGGAGGCTTACCCAGCTCCCGCTCCCTCTAGCTATCCCGCTCCCGAAGTTGCGGTAAAAAAGATGTCTGTGAACATGTTAATCATTTATACATGTGCAGGCCGAAGAGAATATGTGCTGTGGCTGTAGCGTAGGACCTTCTGGTCCTCCTGGAGATGCTGGATTAGATGGAGAGGATGGGAAAGATGGGAATCCTGGAAATGATGGAAATCCTGGCCAAGGTCTTTACTTTCTATTTTATGGCATCGCTGTTTCGTTAAGATGTTGGATCAGGTGGAGCTGATGGGTATTCTGAAGCGGTTTCCACTCCTGTTTGTGTTCGTGAATGCCCTTCCGGACCACCCGGACCACCTGGTAGTCCTGGAGAAAAAGTTAGGAATCAATGTTCGCTGTGTTCTATATTTTTGTTCAGGGTCCTCGCGGTTATCCAGGAGATACTGGTGAGCCTGGTTCTCAAGGAAAAGCTGGGGAGAAAGGTCCCCCTGGAAGAACAGGACCCCCAGGACCTCCAGGTTATCCCGGACGTCAAGGAGAGAAAGGAGATGATGGAAAAAGTATTCCGGGTGATGCTCCTCCAGGTCCTCCAGGACGACCTGGCGAAATGGGACCAGCTGGCCCTCCTGGACCACCTGGAGAAAAAGGAAAAGCAGGAGCTCCAGGACCCCCAGGACAACAGGGTGACCAAGGAAACCCCGGTAAAGCTTTGATGATCTGAAACAAGCACTGAATTCATTTTTCAGGCCCCTATGGTAAACCAGGACCTCCAGGTAGTGAAGGACCAGAAGGTTCAGCTGGAGCTAAAGGAGGATGTGATCATTGTCCACCTCCAAGGACCCCTCCCGGTTATTAATAATCTTCTCCGAAATCTATATAACTTGTGCAATTCGAGAACTGTTATAACTGTTATAATATTAACAAGAATAGTCGTATGTTCGAATAATTATTAAATTTGAAAGGTTTAATGATTGGAATATATCTAGACATAAACAAAATACTTGGAGGTTGACTAAAAAGTTTGGAGTTTAGTTCAAAATTCACTGAGATGGTTCTGAGGTAGCCTTATCGATGTACTGCTTGAACTCTGGAAAACGTGACATAAGCAAAGTGTTTGTGAAATGAGGATTTTCTTTTAATATTCTGAGAATATCCCGAGTTTTGCCACTTTTCCAATCGTCAAGTGCAAACAGAATTAAATAAACACTCGTTTTCACAAATATCCCCCTGTGCTCTCTTCAGATAATGAAAAGGCAATTTTTCAGCTCGTTCATGTTACAGGCGAGTTTGACAAGGAGGCGTTTTTAATAACGTTATCATTGTAATAATGGGAAGCTGGATGCTTGACTATACCTTCGAAACTTATTTGGCTATCTCCATTCTTATCGGCACTCTTAATAACGTTAATTAAGAATTTAAGGTTAGCCTTGAAGGCTGGATCCTTCTGATCATCCTGCAATATTTATTTTCAGTTGTATATTATTTATCAGTAACTGGATCTTCTGAGGATGAGTTCTTGAACATTGGCATGGCAAACAGACGGTAAGAAGAAACATTTGTAAGAAACATACCTTATCAGCTCCCAAAAGCATACAGATGATGTCATCTTTACTGATGAAGCCAGACATATCTTTATCGTGTTGAGTGAACATTTCTCTCAAATCATGTTCTGAAGACTGACAATTACGAAGTTATTAGAGCTAAACTCACCCCAAGCAGCCATTTTGAAGACAGTCTTTCGTACGGCTGAAAGCAGCTATGAGCACAGAAGATAGATGTGAGGAGGAGGGATCTACAAGGGTCCAGAGGTGGAGCTGAGTTGACAAGAGCATAGTTCTCGGCGATTCTCTAGTCGAGTAAGAAGAGAGAACACTCTTAACGTTCTACTGATCTTCACTTGTATCCAAATTGAGCAACACTCCAAACCCAATGGTTTTTTCAACAACTTTGTTATTAAATGGAGAAAAAACATTACAAGTGTCTGCAGAAGTTTTCGAATGAAGAAGAAGCTCAAAATAATTGAGTAGTTATCAAGTGGGTAAGCCTTTTCTAAACAAGAATCAACTTTCCAGTCAAGACAACTCTTGAACCATGGAGGAAAGCTGTGTTTGAACTATACTGAACATTATACTCCCATGTAGATAAAAGAAGATGAAGTATTTCATAACAATTTATGATACCAACAAAAACAATTTAGAAGATTGGATCAGGGAACTCGAACACAACTTCCTTTCCGGTAAGCTTTCTGTAGACAGAGGAGAAGATGTCAACCTTGTGTTCAACGTTGCATTGTTGGGCCTTGTCAAGGTGGATCTAAAACTTTTTTTTAGAAATGACAATTATTCAGAGATGACTACCTTGTGGACCTTCTTTCCATCGAGTTTAACTCTGATTCTCTTTCCAACGACTTCGGCGGGGAAGACCATCTCGTCGAGCCAAGCGTTGTGGACTTCGGTAAGAGTTCGGGAACGTGGTCTCTTTTGCTTAAGTGTGTTGTTAGCCTTAGCTCCTCTAGCTGGCTTGGGAAGGATTCTTCTCTAAAATTGAAACATGGAGACATTATCAACGATTCAATAGCTAACCTTAGCAAGGACGAGGACGTGCTTTCCACCGAACTTCTTCTCAAGCTCACGGACAACGCGAGTTTGGATTTTGTGGAATTGCTTGAGCTGAGGAACTGGAACATAAACGATGATGACAGACTTGCTGCCAACATCAACTTCCTACAGACAAAAAAAATGAAATACGGAATTTTCAACAATATCACAAACCTTAACTCCAACAATGTAGAGCTCACGAAGTTGAGCCTTAATATCAGAGTTAGCCTCAAGCTCTAAAAGGGCTTGGGAGACTTGCTTCTCCAACTCAGAGGGAGCATCGTTGTCGGCTTTCAACAACTTTCCTATTACGACCATCCTTTAACCCAGTTGAACACTGAAAACTATAGAAATCAACAACAGTGACAGTGAGGAAATATCAAAGCGTTAGACATGGATAAAAAGCCTCAATGTTAATGGAGAGTGATAAATTAAAACGGTAACTAAGAAAAGTAGATGTAATGCGTTACTTTAAACGTTTTCAATCAAGAAAAAAATTGAAAAATTCAACAACAATTATAGTAAACCCTGAAAAAAACGCCAAAATCCCAAAAGATCTTCAAATGTGTGTATGGAAAATGTAAAGATACTGTAGCATAGAAAGATGGAACAGGCATTTCGCGTCGAGACCTTTAGTGTACCCAGCATCGAAAATTCCAAATTACTGCTACCGGGTACATTTTTAAATGAAAGCGTACGGCGATCAGGGAAATAATATGGGAAAAAGTTTATGTAATGTTAAGATTCTACCTTATATATTTCTTATAAATGATCTTTGCGAAATTGTTTAGACAACCTATGAAATTACTCTTTATAATAAATGAGTATATCCTTCATAGAATATTATGTATTGGTAGAATGAAGAAAGCTTTTATATTCATAACATTTTGGAGTATTTGAAGGGAAATAACACTTTTAAATGCATGTTACTTCTTTGAGATGATATGAAGGGTTCAAGTTACTCAGCTGTAGGTTGCTGTGAATACCTGATTTTCCGGAAACTTTGTGTTACTTTTTTTAGTTACCAGATTGTTACTTTTGCACAATCACTCTTTCTCTCTGTCTCTGAGCTCATATGTGCATATGAGACATATGCATGTTCCAGGTAAACGAAGATGATTCTTCATTCCAACTCCATATTTTGCCTTTGTGTTCAGTTTATGTATTCAGAGGGCGTTAGTTTTTGGTTGATTAAATATTACCAAAAAGGATTTATTAGATTTTATTGTTCTTCCTGATCTCTTGAAATAAGATGCAACCAGTTCATATAGAGATCAGCTCTTAGCTGGTGCTGAACCCATGTGAATGTATTCACGTGAACTGTAATGTAGAACACTATTATTTGACTATCATGTTTGTTTGTGTATGTTGCTAAGATAAGAGTCAGTCATTTTCGCTGGCTATTCATTACGATGATGCTAGCAGATGACCAAATGTGGAAAAGATTTTGGGGCACAGTTGATGAATGCCATTGTACTAAAATTTTCAAAAGGACCCAGCTTTTCCTCGCCCATATTTAACATCTTAAAACGGATATCTGTGAGTTATCGTCAGAATTTTCTGATAGAAGTTTCATTTGTTGCCTAAACGGATTTGCACACATTCTACCAATTAGTTTTAGGTTTCAGTATTGTTGTTCAACACTTTTCGTTTTCCTTTACATCGCATCTTCTTAATTGGATAATATTGCTACTTGCTCCCAAAAATAACAGATTGCTTCATTTGATTGAGTCAGGTGGAACTAAAAGCAAATTCTTTTCCATCTCAGAACATACATGTGGTCATATATCAAAATCTCCTTATGTGTTCCCATAATTTTCACTCAGTCAAGTTAAGTTTTTGAAGCTTCTTTTGACTGTGATCATATATATCCACTTGGGAAGAGTCTTGAGATGCTTATAATCAAGTTTGTTGTACACTCTCAATTCCATTTGATATATTGATTCAATTTTGTCTTTTCTGCCCAATCCAATGAATATCTTTATACGTACAAGTAAGAAATTAAATGATATTTTAGAAGCTTTGATCTTAAATTAATTTTATCGAACTGAAGCTCACTTTACATCAACAACATTCTTTATATGCGTATGTTGAGCCGTATTAAGGAAACAAAATGAATGAAGGAGTATTAATAAAGCGTTTGTTTGTTTTACGATGAAAGGAGCTGTTTCAATAACTTTCTTCGAGGCCTATGAAAGCATGATGCTCCAACTCAACTGTCCCACACCTCAACATTCGGACCGAATTTGGAAAAAAGAATTTCCACGAAAAATATTGAGAGATGATGAGAGTGACGAGGGATGTAAGATCACGTTATGCTTTTAAACGTCGTGAGAACTAAGCCATCTAAGTCATTCATGTGGAAAACTTTTAAAAGTTTTTCAACAATTTTGTCGAAAAAAAATTATAAAAAGATGAGAGGTGATGAGAAAAGTGAAGGACCAGTTGAAATTTGGGCTGAAGAGAGACAAGCCATTGCTTTTCGGATAGTAAATTGAAAGCAATCTTTTCGCTGCTTTTCATGCTTCGGCTTTTGATTGAACTCTTCAAAAAACTACAGCTCAGCTCCGACTAAACGCAAAAAATCGTCACCTGTTCCTTCTTATCTCCCTTATTATAGTTATAAAGTTTCTCGGAAAATACTATAAGCTATCTAAGAGTGAACTTGGGAAGAGCAGAATGCCAGAGAATCAGTCATTCTGTGCTCTGTTGAATCTATTGTTATTCAAGAAACTATACTCTCTAGCTCAGTTGAGCATTCCCAAAAAAGCTCATAGAAACACCAGAACAGGAACAGAGCATTTCGGGATTAACAGGAATCAAAATATGTGACAAACGTTATCATTCGAACCAGTACGGGTTTTACGCGTCACCTCTATTCCCCGTACATAATAATTCATTTTATTTGTTTTTAGAGGCACGGTTAGCTGTTTTGTGTGTTTATTTCCAAAATCTTTATTGCTCATATTTTCTTCCATATTTTGATATTCTCTTTTTGTCTTCAATACGAACACGAAAAAAGAAAGGCGGAGCTGGACCTCAGTAAGCGTACATCGCGCTTTTTCTCCTCTGCAACACCATTTTGTTATCTCTCTCCTAGTTTATTTCTCTTTCTCTCTTTATATGTCACATTTTCTCTCCTTCTTTACTTTTTCAGAGAGAAGAACCCGAAAATTTTTAGAGCCGTTTATCCAATTTACTCCCTCCTTTCTATGTCCGCTCCTCTTCACCCCGTCTCTATCAGACTGCTTCCTTCCTCCGCTCTTACTACCACATGTGTATAGGTCTTCCTCACACTTTCCATTTTAAAAGTCCTTTTGCTCCACCCTCTCTGGTAATGCATGAAAAAATAATATTTGAGCTTCGTTCTATTCCAAGAAAAAAAGTTAATTTGAAAGACTCTTTCATTTGAAGTTTTTTCATTTGCGTTTCTCTTTGTCCTATTCTCATCTCTTCCTCATGAATACCATATTCCACATTTCAACAAAAAAGTAACTGGTTAAATACATCTCTCCAGTCTCTCATATGTGTGTGAGTTGAATGAACGAATCTCTTGATTCTCTTTTTTGTTCGTAATTGTTGGATAAAACTTCAGAAGTACACGTATCTTGTAATATACGCCATTGTTTGTAAAAATGTGTCCGGTAATCTATTTTTTTTCATCTTTGATTAGATATATTCGGACTCATATAAAGATATATATATATATATATATATATATATATATATATATGGACTACACATCTCAGCCTATCTGAGTGTTTTCAGTTGACGGCTTTTCAACTAAAGTCTTGTTAACTCAACTCTTTGACTTTCTGTCTTCTTCTTCTTCTTCTCCTTCTGCTTTCTAGCCTTAACTTATTTTTTTTCCAATAATTCATTGACATCATTGATGTAGCACAATTTTTTTATATCTTTGAATGATCCGTCTGTCCTCCTCTGCAATGATCTTGAACTCTTCATTTCTTCTTTTTATAAACTTATTTGGACTTGCGCTCGGAAGTCTAAGTTTTTCATCTTCAATTTATTTCGGTGGTTCTTGATTTTGTAAGATGAAGTCATCACAATCAGTTGAAAGACAAAGAAAGAATACGAACGACATGTTGAGAGAGAAAAAGATTTTCTCAGCTATTGAAGTTGAATACGAGAGAGAGAGAGAGAGAAAGAGAGAGAGAGAGAGAGAGAGAGAGAGAGAGAGAGAGATGGAGGGAGAGAAGTATGAGGAAAAGAAGAGATAGATTGGCAGTGAAAGACACTGATAGATAGAAAGAGGTGGTGAGTCGCTTACTTGTGAAGCCGTCCTATGGCGATAACTACATTGACGACGCTGTTCATGGAAAGCAGATGCATAAACTTGGAGATGTAGTCGTTAGCTGGCAAAGTTGAGGAGAGCATTGAATATTATGAATAAACGGTAACGTGAAGGGAAAGAGAGGGCGAAAGAGAGAGGAGAAAAGAAACAACAACTTGAGAAAGTCAAGTGCGATTCCAGAAGCATTTCGAATTTGTTTTTTTCTCCTTTATTGTCTACTTGGTTCTTATATTCATCATACGCCTCCAGTCGGTCCTTATTTCCTCATGTAATGTACCAGCCAAATTTGGTTTCTGAAACGGACTCAGATTGACCCTGAAGAGATGAAGATGAAGGCAACCAGCATGTCTCTCGAAATTCGTATCTTCACAAACACTTCTGATTGAATTCGACAAAATCACCCATCTCAATGCAAGTTCAACAAGCTTCATCCCGGCTTTCCATTTATATTATCCTTTCTTTTTAACTTAAATTTTAACCCCATTTCCGACGTATTTTCTTGTAATAAAATTCGTCAGAACGCTCCTGACTAAGTTTTAGCCGACAGCAGCTGGTCTAAAGTTGAAAAGATGTACAACATTATTCAAATAATTTGGTCCAAAAACGAAAATAGCGCAGATTGGCCGACAAATTCCGAATAATGCATAGTCACGTAATCTCAGGGGATTTCTTTTTAACAAGTTAGGTCTTTCAACGTGATTAAAAATCCTATTTGAAACTAATGAAGAACTTAATTATTTCAATCAAGTTCATAACCTTCTATCTGATCCTCTTAAATCTCTGTGGTCTGTTATGACACTCTATGCTTCCATAACGTTCGTCCTCAACAATACGGCTTTACCTTCTTATCTTAAGCAATCAAATAGAAAACAATCAGGAAAATCTTCACGATCTCCCAAATTACTGCAAAGAGAAAGAGTTCTTTTTTTAACAAAAGCACTCAACCAGTCTTAGCTTCAGTAGAAAGAACTGACTGACCACCTAATCAAATTGTCTTTTTCGAGGAAGTTCTTTGTTTCATCATTATTGTAACTTTCTCATCCTTTCTTCTACGCATCTCGCTGTTCTTTAAAAACTGAAGAAAAACATCCAAATTGCCTACAGTTGGAAGGAATCAGGATTGCTTTCGTTTTTCGAACTAAAAATATAAAAAAAAACAAAAATTAGGTATTAAAATCTTTGCCAAGCGAAAACAAACTCTTTCTCTGGCAAGCTGAACTAATCCTCTACCTCCAACTTCGGAACGACTTTTATATTTTGTTCAACGTCTTCCAATATTTTTGCCACTCTGAATATTTGGCTGTGTAAAAAAAACTTGTCACCTCGGGGCCTTAGGGAGTTGAAATCCCATCTGAAACATGAAATAGTCCCAAATCTGCCAAAATGGAAAAGCTAACTGACCATACATTCTTCTTTTTCGCTATGAACACCCTAATTTGCTTGTCTCTACTTTAACTGATCTGGATGTGCATTCATGCGTTTTCATAATTCTCTGTCTTAATACTTTCTTTACGTCTTATATTTTACTATGAAAAAAGTTAGTTCCTGAATATTTGAACTTTTTTCAGGATGTTCTTCATTGTGTAAAGTGCTCCACAGGCACTCCGTCGAATAAAAAGCTGGAGCCGTTGCCAAACTTTTTGACACTTCGTCTACTCCGACTATTAATTATAATCCGTAACATTTCGAGTTGTACAAGAATAATTCTCAACAGCTACCCAAGTTTTTTCGATATTCAGGAAGCCGCCTCACGGCTTTCTTACATAGACCTAACCGCTAATCAGAACTTCAAGGCGTCGGTTCACCAGAAATTTTTACAATTTTCTTTATTGTATCATTTGAATCACAATGTTGTACAGTCATGTGACTCTGCTTATGCTGCGAGTCGTCGATGTAGTTGCGAAAACAACGGTCCAACAATCTGCTCGAATGCTAGTGGCAGAGATACCAGGAGAGATTCAAGTAATTTTATTAATATGAGCGGGATGGAGAAAAATTCATTCAGATTGGAGCATTGTTTCCTGTACATAGGCAAATCGCTGGCTCCGAAAGTTGCGGCCAAATTTGGGAACAATATGGAATACAGAGAACTGAGATTGCGTTACAAACAGTGAGGACCATAAATGCGGAGCTACCATTCAAGCTAGGCATATCAGTGAGGTGAGTGTCAAAAATCCTAATGAATTGATGAACTACATCACGTTATGAATCGCTCTATTTTCTGTTATTTCTGAACTAAGGCTAGAAAAGATAAAAGTTGAAATTCAGCCATTGAGGCTGTTATTAAGATATAAAGAAATAACTATGAATGCGCTCAGGAAATGAGAACCTTTGCACGTGTTTTGTGTCATGCCATTATTTCAACAAAACACGCGTCAAGCGGTTGTTTTCTTTCAACTAACTTGAACAGTTATTATGAATATTTTTTTTCCAGAGATTCATGTTGGACAGAGCGTATTGCTATGGAACAAACAATTGCCTTTCTCCGGGAAGGTGTTGCGCAATGTTCATGTTGTCAAACTCCCGGCTGCAACAAAAAAAGTGTCCCTGTTGTGGCAATAATAGGACCGGGAAAAAGTGCTTCAACCATTGCTGTGCAGAACCTACTTCAAGTAACATAATTTTCTAACTCCTCATAATGCTTGGATACGCTGTAGGTGTTCCGTATTCCTCAAGTTGGATATTCCTCAACTACCCCTGATCTCTCTGACAAAGATCAATTTGGATACTTCCTTCGCGTAGTTCCATCAGATAAATGGCAAGCCCAGGCTATAATTCGAATTTTAAATCATTATAACTGGACGTATATTGCTGTTTTATACTCAGCTGGTCAGGAAGAAATGTTTTTTTTGCAATTGTTTTTTTTCCAGGTAATTATGGTGAAAAGGGCTTTGAAGCTTTGGAAAGAATTCTGGGACAAGACAATTTAGATGTTTGTATTGCATATTCTGAGAAAATCAAATCTCTAGCTAGTGAAAGCGAATATAGAAACGTATGTTCCCGAAGTTTTCTCTTACAATTTTTTTTTGAAGGTATTACAATCACTGACATCTCAGAAGTCACGACCTCAAGTTGTCGTTTGTTTTTGTGAAGGTTTGACTATCAGAAACTTTTTTTTGGCACAGAAGGAGCTTCAGATGACAAACAAAAGTTTTCAGGTATTTTTAATAGTGTTTTTTGGCTGTGTACTATTTTTTTGAGCGTTTTCAATGGATTGGATCTGATGGTTGGGCAGATAGAAACGATGTAGTCGAGGGCATAGAAGAAGAAGCTGAAGGGGCCTTCAGTATTCGTATACACTCGCCTAAGGTATTTTTGAGAAAGTCCCTGATCATAAGTCACTCCAGGTTCCCGGTTTTCGAGACTATTATACAAGCCTCCATCCTGAAAACAACACTGTCAATCCTTGGTATCGAGAGTTTTGGCAACAGAAGTTTGGCTGTCAGTTCGCTGTCAGTAAAGAAGATAAGAACAACGAGAACATAAAAATATGTACTGGAAACGAAGATATAGATGAATATTACAAAGAGGTTCGTAATATTTTCCCCTTCTCTCCATGTTTGTCCTGTTTTAGGATCCAAAACTATCTCAAGTGATTAATTCTATCCGCGTTATAGCTATGGGTTTGAAAGCTATGTACTATGATCGTTGTCGGTTAGTGTGTAACTCTTATAGTGAAGTCATTCAACTGTTCAGAGACAATTCGACGCTCTGTACTGAGATGCTATCACGTAATGGCACTTTGTTATACCAATATCTCTTGAATGTTACCTATGAAGATCAGTTTAAGCAGAGAATATATTTTGATGATGATGGTGACCCACCTGCATGGTTGAGCTTTTTTAATTCTATCAGTATAATCATTTTTTAAGGTATGATATTCTCAATTATGTTGGAAGAAAAAATTTGGACAACCCTTATGCTGAAGTTGGAAGTTTCCAGTCAGAGAACAGTAAAGGAGAGGAAGAGCTTAATATGACTGATACTAAGTGAGTAGTCAAAAATGAAACAATTTAAAACTTATCGAAACTTCAGCAATGTTATGTTTTATGATCGTAGTAATATTTTACCGGAGAGTGTTTGTAGTAATCCTTGTGGAATTGGACAAAGGGTTGGTTTTCTACTCATAGCTTTTCGAATAAACTGTTTTAGCAAAGAGAAACAATCGCTTGTTGTTGGATATGTGAAAACTGTATGGATCAGCAGATTGTGAATTATACCACAAATCAATGTCAGAACTGTACTATTGGAACATGGCCAGATCCTCTTCGTGCCAGTATGATCGTTCAGCAATTTATCAAAATAATCGATATTGATATTAGAATGTTTACCACTACCACATGAAACACTGTCGTGGTCATCGTTTGGGAGTATTTTAGCTCTGATACTCGCAACAGTAGGAATAATCATCACTTTCGCTACTGTCGTTGTTTTCTTAAAACATAATAGCACGCCAGTGGTCAAGAGTACGACAAGAGAGCTAAGTTATATAATTTTAACAGGTTTGTTGGTTGTGTCTGTACAAAAAGTATATTATCCACAGGAATCACCATTTGCTATGCTGTAACTTTCTCAATATTAGCTCGTCCATCCGCCATCAGTTGTTTTCTCACTAGGTGAAACCAATAAGCTTGGAAACCGCTCATAACTTGTTTCAGAACCGTGCCGCCAATCGCATTCTCTATAGTTTATTCTGCACTTTTGACGAAAACTAATAGGATAGCTCGTATTTTAGCGGGTAGTAAGAAGAGAATTTTAACGAAGAAACCCAGGTTTCTCAGTACAGCATCTCAGGTTTTCACTGCCATTCGTCGAGTTAATACATAGATTTGCTACAGGTTGTCATAACTTGGATATTGGTGGGAATTGAAAGCGTTATCGTGGCAGTCGGTGTTCTGAAAGAATGGCCCGCCGCTGGTTTTGCTCCTCATTTTCTTCCTTCGAGGTAACTATATTCTCGTTCACAAATTTCAACTTGGTCATTAAGAATGGTTCTTGTTTGCACTACTTCATCGGGAGCAGTGTTATGGCCTTTCCTCTGGAATTTGTTACTGATCATCCTATGTACTTTATATGCTGTGAAGACTAGGAATTTACCGGAAAATTTCAATGAGGCCAAGTTTATTGGGTTTACGATGTTTGTTAAGTTACGTTTTTGATTATTTAATTTAAAATTTACAGGTATTGCACTCTTGTAGTTTGGATAGCTTTCATTGTTCTCCATATGGGAACAGTGAACAAAGCTCTGACGATGTCTTTCACATTCTCTTTATCAGCTTCAATTGCTCTCGTTCTCCTCTTCTTTCCAAAGCTTTATATTATCATATTGCACCCGGAGAAAAATGTGCGTGCCTCATATACTACCACAAAACTTATTCGGTAGGTTGCTTTTATGTGTCAGTCTTATCAATCATATTTAAGATGTCATTTTGGAAATTCTCAGGGAGCCTACGATAGTAATAAACATTTATCTTCTAAAACTACAACTCGTACATCAATGCAATCTGGGTAAGAGCTTATGAAACTCTCGGATATTAAAATTCCCACTGATTAAATCCCGTGAGAAAAAAATAAATTGCAGAGCGTCTTCCAGTAAATCATCTAGTTGTGGTGGTATAACGAGGACAGCCAGTGTGCATGTCCCTTCTACTAATAAAGGTCACGTAGATATTTCAACGCAGACAGAGTCATCAGGTAATGATTATCTTTGAGGTCGCGATAAGCGCATTCGTTTCAGGAGGGAGTCGTTTTGTACGGACATTCAGCATAGCAGGCGGGAAAAAAAGAACAACAATGATTGATGATGATGTTGCTCAACTAGTTGAAGCTTGTCGTCGTTATCAGGTTTTGAGGATCGATAAACTTGTGACACACTCATCAATTTTAGGATGAAAAACTTCATGCATCTTCTGCTAATCTACTCTTAGAGGAGGAAGAGGTAGAAGTTGGTTCAATGCTTGCTGATTCACTGCAGTCTATGCGCACTGTTCTGTCCACTGTGGCGGGAGGAGCTGTTGCCGCCGCTTCGACAGCTCCATCAGGAGCTGCTACGAGACGACGGCAATCTCTCGCTGTTTCCCCCACAGTTGATTACGACGGTTTCGAAGAGGTGAGCGTAGTATCCGAACTTTGTCATTCCATAATGCAGGGGACAGGTGAACTACTAAGTTTCGTTTAGAATTTTTGAACCAGAATTTTCGTGAAAGGCGAATGTCTTTTCAGGTTCCAGCTTCTATTATGTCATAATATTCAAATCATAGCTGGGAACCTCTTCGAATATCGTTTCGTCTGTTAACACAAGACAGTAAATATGATGGAATGCTTCACAGATACTTTCGTATAAGCTTCCTTATATAGCTTGTCTAAGTTACAGAGCTTTGTGTGTTCTTTCCCGTGCTTTATTTTTGTTAAAGAAACACTACTAATACTTTGTTCTGCACAAACGCTAAGCATCCTTAAACGTTACCTTAATTAATAGTTTCCCCTAGTTTGCACATTAACCTTCACTAATAAGCTTTCCTGTGCTTTACTTTTGTTATGTGACAGTTTCTGACTTTGTTGCTTCTACAAAGTTTGAAGCTAAATTTATTAGTGATCTGAGTGTCCTGGATCAAAACAAGCCCAGTATGATCAAATTTTTCAATACCGAACGGTTGCATTCAAACTCTTCTCGTTTTCGAATTGTGCGAAAGAGAATGGTGTTCTTTTCTTCAATATTTCCAAATATTTATCGTTTGATTTTGTTTGATAAGCTTGAATGTTTTCCTGCTCATTGAGTAACTGAAATACATAATTTTTTTCACCAGGGTTCGTGTTGGAATGCCAATGCATAACCATCCACCTTGAAGAGTTTTCTCTTTGATCGATCATTATAAAGCTGGTAGAGGTGATCAGAACTTGTAGAAGCGATTACCGTCTTTCCTTCTCTGAGTTCTCTCGATTCTATAAGCTCTTTATTATCATTGATTACCCGTTTTGAATGAGATACTTGCGTTCGTTACCTGAGGTATACACAATTCCAGCGGTATCAAAAGCTCCTCCTCCTTTTTTACCTCCACCTATTCCATTTTATTATTTCCATGCTGTTTTCTAGCCACACTCAGATTCAAGCATATCCTAACCCTTTTAGTTCATTTTTGTTCGATCTTAAATAGTTGTTTCAGTTGCTCCGTAGTCGAGGAGTTCAGCCGCTCACCTTTACTCAGGCTACACCCTTATGAATCAGGTTTCTATTTTTTTAAATCAACTTGATTTTTTCTCTCTTAGAAGCGTAAACGAAACACTTCCGCGGCGTTTGACCCATCATGCGTTTCTGATTCTTCTGCAAACTCAACTTCCTCTATGGACTCGTCTTCATCTTCACCTTCAAACTCAAATTCCCGAAATCATCAAACACCTAGAACATCAGGGGATTGCTTAGTTTCAGATGAGGAACTGGCTCGAATTTCCGTCCGACAACTGAATCAAAAGCTTCAAGTAAATTTTATTATAGTCGCTGTGTTCAAAGTTTGACTCAATTTTAGGGTCAAAATCGAGATGTTGTTTCACAATTCAAGCAGAAACGACGTACTTTAAAAAACAGAGGTTATGCATTGAATTGCAGAGTGAGGCGAATCCAAACTCAGTTGCAATTAGAAGCGGATAACTTGATGCTTAGAGATCAAGTATGATTGTGTCTATAATTCATAACTAAGAAATTATTTGACTTCAGATTCGGTGTTTGCGACAAACACTGGCAGAGTTACAGCACAGACTTCAGTTCTATGAGCCAGCGTTCCATTATGAAGCTTACGCACCCATTCCACCGAATGGAGTTTCGGGAATTTCATGCGGCGTGCCGCAGACGCCTTACGATCCTAGTCTTAATAATATTAATCCACCAAATATGTGCTATGATATGTCAAAAGCAAAGAGAATTGATGAGCAGCATATACCTTATGCTCTATAACTCAACTTTTGATATTCATGGTCATTCCATGTCTTAAATTTTCTACTAGAGTACACACAGGAAACCATCACTATTTTATGCGATGACTGGTATTTTCTACATATTCTGATGCTCTTCTTGAATCCGGCATTCTTGCTGAGCTTGAAGCCACTATAATAGTTCTCAAAACATTTTTCCAGTATCTAATAATTGTTATTTATGATCACAATTCATATTCGTTTTGTTTTCATCTCCAAATGTTTGATGCGAGTATCAGAACCATAGTTTTTATAATCCCGTTGAAAGCTTTTTGTATAATACAGAAGTCCGTGCATTGTTGAATCGAAATCCCAGTGTTGTTTTCACTCCCATATGTGATAATATATGTTAATAATAAGCTAAATAAAGTTGGAATTGATTGTATATTTCACTATTATTAGTGTTGCGAAACTGCGGCGTTCCCTGATAAAATACCTCGACTCCATTTTCTTTATAAATTTTCGAACACAAGCGGCTATCTGTAGGAGTGTGCAGATGGTTCGGCTTATGAAATTAAGTTCAGACATAACTTGTTGTTCTTTGTTCGGACATGTTTACCTTTCGCCCATCGCTGATGACGAGCCCGATGAATCCACTTCATGAACTCTACTTTATTTTTAAAATTCTTATCACTGTTTCAGTAAAATATTATGTTCCAGGCTGATAAAAACCTGTCGTACCAGGCCGTAACACGGATTGCATATACAAATTATTATCTTGGAGCATTATAAAAAAATATAATGTGGGCTGGTTTTCTTCAAGGTTCGTAATGCTCCCAACTCATGCTGATGAACTCATCCGGGCTCGAAACTGGAAACGATCGGAGAATAATGTCTTCCACCGCTTAACAGTTCAATGTCTTTTTCAGTACTAAGTATCAGGATATTTCAAGCATTTTGTCGAACATGGCTGGTTAGCCGAATTCTAATATAAGAAAGTCGGTAACATGTGTTGATTTTAGCAAGAATATGGTTTCAGTTTCTCGTTGAATCTTCGCTCAGATTGATCGTTGTTGTGTCAGAAGTTGTCGTTGATCTCAAGTTCTTCAATCTTCCCTTTTTTTAGAGCCAAAAAGTTTCTTCTACGACGGAGCTATGGATCCTTCCTTTGTTGTTAGTTTGCGACACTCACGGAGGAGAATTGTAGACATATCTGCGAAGATTTACTCATATAGTGAGCGTTTTACAAATACCGGAAACCAGGGATGAATTTAGACGAGTTAGTTTATTCGAAACTTTTTATCTCACTTTTTTCATTATAGGTCATCAATAACAAGGAGAAGTATAGACGTTTGGTCTTTGTGATTCTCATTCCAATCATGCCGAGCTTGAAGTGAACTTCAAAAAGAGTCTTTGAGAAGTGGTTGTATGTGTTCTTGTTTCTATCTGAACAGGGGTGCGAGATTTAATCAAATAGGAATGCCTCTCCCAGTGAATCTCTTCATATTTACGTTCGTCTTATTCCATGAATCAACTCAATGAAAAAATGATCTTATTTGAATCATTTTCAGCTGTGTTATGAGATGTCATTGAAGAATTAACCAAACAGATCAATTGAAAACAATTCAACAAAAAAATAAGAATGAATTATGCTCCGAGTTTCGGTACGGTTAGCCTGTGCTCATCTACACGACAGTGCGTACAGATACTATATGGAGCGGCATGTACCAACCATCTCAAAGCAGAAAGTGTTCGTCTAGACACAAATCGATTGACGTGGATAGAGCTAAACTCTCGAAAGAAAGGTCAGGTAGGAATTGTTTTGAAGAAATTCTTTGAAGCTGTGCATACTTTGTATAGATAACTTGACCAGTGAGTACCAGTCTTTTCTTCGAGCACTACGGCTGTTTTAATCGAAACTTTCGAATGAGAAGGAATGTGTCAATCTGTGAATACGCATCAAGGAGTTACGGTCACGAGTTATGAAACTATTGATCTCTCATGATTTTCTTTTTGTTCCAGGAGATTGTCGTGGAAGCTTCGAGCCGTTGGAAGGTCGAGGGCATGTATATTGAACGTACGTTTACATCTGAAAGATCTCAGTTTACCTATTCCGATTTTTAGTTTTTTAAAGAGTATTCACTGCTTCCTCGTCCCGAATCTATCCGTTCAAGTGAGTAAGTAGTAGGTGATGATTACCTGTGTTGAGCAAAAGCTTATTTTGCTTCTTTCAGATTTACAGGAGAGAGAGTAATCTGCTACTGTGTGATTGAAATTGAAATGTGTTAGGTGAGCTTATAGGCTTCATGAAATTGTTTCACGCAGGGGTAAAGGGGGATATTTCGAGCTAAATTAGTTTAAAGTTCAAGACATTCGGTATCATTCGAGTTCTATGATGGTCATCCTTCACTGAAGAACGGGATGCACAGTGTAGACAGATAGGACTACACATAGCATGTGGTAGTAAAAGAGTTTTATCGTTCTGAAATAAAGATGTGTCGTATGTATTGTGTTCCTCTCGCCATAATTCGGTTCAGTCCATTCATACTTGTAATTTGAAACTGACGAATCTCGACGAGCCTGTTAGTGCTCGCTTGGTGAAGAAAGTTTGAAGCTCTGCCTTCATACAGGTCTCATCATAAGTGTTCATTTCAGTGTTGTTAGTGTTTTGGTCCTATCAGATGAGATGATCAATGATTTTGATGGAAACAACCAGTTGTTCGTAGTCAGTTCTTTCTATTCATATTCATCTCAATCCAGGAATTAACTCGGGAGCATCATTTGATTTGTATCACTTAGCAGTGCGTCTCGGTCAAGTGCGAAATCAACCACACCGCTCACTCAAAAAGGAAATTCAGAATGAACTGAGCAGGAGATTCATTCCAAGTAAAGAGGACCATGAGCGGCTGTGCCATAACCGCGTGTCTTCCAAGTAATATGTTGCAGCATTCGTTTCAGGACTTGCAGGTACTATTTGCAGGGACTGTGCTTGAGGAGTCTGAATACATCAAATGGATTAATCTTATGCGGTTAAGTAGTAAGCAGCTAAACA